ACTATTTCTTTTGACCAGTCCGCGAAATTTTAAACAAATTTTTCTCGAAACTGTCTTTTTTAAAACGATACCCACGTTTCCTCCCGATCTACTGTACCGATTTGCCTGAAATTTTTAGCGAGTATTCCTTATTGACTTATCTATATTGTCTTTAAATTTAAATTTTAACTATTTTTAAAAAACTCGAAACAGTCAAAAAATTGCTACTGAAATTTTTTTTTTTCAAACAAACGCCATTTTGTAAAAAAAAAAATTTTTTTTAGTTCCAAACCGCCTAAAGACTATTTCTTTTGACCAGTCCGCGAAATTTTAAACAAATTTTTCTCGAAACTGTCTTTTTTAAAACGATACCCACGTTTCCTCCCGATCTACTGTACCGATTTGCCTGAAATTTTTAGCGAGTATTCCTTATTGACTTATCTATATTGTCTGTGTCTGTAACTAGCCACAACCCCAAATTTAAATTTTAACTATTTTTAAAAAACTCGAAACAGTCAAAAAATTGCTACTGAAATTTTTTTTTTTCAAACAAACGCCATTTTGTAAAAAAAAAATTTTTTTTAGTTCCAAACCGCCTAAAGAAGAGCTACAAAAATTGTTTTGTTTTCTTTAGACAGTAGCCATTTCGTGAAAAAAAATATTTTTAAAAATTCGAAATTCAAAAAAAAAAATACAAAAATTGTTTTTTTTTCTTCAAACAGTTGTCATTTCGTGAAAAAATATTTTTAAAACATTTCCAGATATTGCGAGACTAGAATATATTCTAGTTTTATATTTTTTCTTTTTTGGTTGCAGATTTCAAGGTGGGTTGAAATCGTTGGTATGGTCACATGCTAATTTTTTGAGACCTCCACTTTATCAGCAGCAAATTTTTGAAATTTTTGTATTTTTTTTTTGTATTCTTGTTAAGTTAATAAATAACTACTAGAAAAATTGTTAGTGTCATAAAAGTATTACTTGGTTCTTTTTTTTTGACGACACTTCAAAAATAACCTGTAATTCATGTCTCTGCGCAATTGCTAGTTCTTAAATGAATATAAAATTGAATTTTAACCTATTTTGCCCTTGACCTGGTAAACGTTTATATTTGTTATCGCAAATAGAGTGGAGCTTTCTTGGCGTTAACAACGCTACTAGCGCTCTTTGATATGCACACACAAAGCATGGGAGGGCGCTTGTTCAATTTATAAGCAACGCTCTTCCCCCACTTCGCACCGCTTACTTGTGCGCTTAGTGCTTAAACGACTCTGACTCATGTCGAGAATATTTCTATATGACTAATACTGCATATAAATATAAGAAAGCTCAAGTATGCTGAAGTACAAAACTTCTAAAGCTGCCAAAAAATATTGTGCAAAGCGTGCGTACACTTGCAGGCACATGATTTTCGAAACGCACTGCTTGCTAAAACTGCGAAATTCCTAAGACCACTAAGCATTTTCACACCACTAAGCACGCACTTTGTCAACATGTTGCTCATAATTCACTCTCTTTTCGTTTCATACCGCATTTTTCGTCTCCGAAGGACTCCAGGAGGTCTGTGCATCCGGATCCTTTGAGCAGCAGCTACCCATGATTATTTGTATTTACGTATAAAGTTATATATATTGTAGTACAATATATGAAGTGTGCAATACTGATTACGCGTATGCGCTTTTTAACTGCCTTTGTAGCACTGAGGTATCTTTTTCATCAACGTCGTCGTCTCACGGTTGCACAGCGTATGTCAATTTCACTTTTGTTCGCCTCACTTTTCCGAATTTATTGTTGAATAGAGTATGTTATATACAAGCATTCGACGCGGTTGTAGGTGCTGACATGCGCGTCGTAAGGGGCCGAGCTGCACTCCTTCTTAACTCAGCGCTTGCTTATGTACAGACATATACCATATACTCGTATGTATGTAGTAAATCTATGCGGTTTTATCGCAAAACAAATGAGTTACGGCCAAACAACTCACACAATGCAACAACAGTGCGTGCACAAAAGTTTACACAGGCACATTAAGTACTCCAACCGTTAAATACAAGCAAAGGTATGCATGGTACAATAAATACATACATACATATGTATATAGGCATGTACCTACACTCAGCTGTACGCATTTTCGAACGGTGCATGTGATAAATTGACACATAATACAATAGTACCATAATTCCAATAGAAAATAATTAAAAAAGTGTCAGCGTATGACCTGCACACTGCCGACACGCTGCTCTACGCCGGCGGGAGAAGCTCTCCGGCTATGTGCGCTTACTTCAGAGCGCCGTATTGGTAAGTGTGACGGCGTCGGGTTGTGCGGTGTGCCGGGTCGTTGGGCAGCGCTGTATGTGTACATGTGCTTATATATATTAACTGAGCTCCTGGTGCCTTATCAGCGACTAGTCAGCGCTTAGCGTTTCTAGCAGCGGCGCGATCGCGGTAAGCCTTTGTGCTACGATCTGCTGCCTCAGTTTACTAACATGCATATATTATATAGTTATATTCTTACTGAGTCGGCAATCGGCTTGAAACAATTTACTAACTGTATTTGTTTTTTGTTTTCGCTTTTCTGCCTCTCCTGGTTGGCTTAGGTTGGACTTATTGGCGTGTGTAGGTGACTAAAGGCAGGAATGTTGATAAATGTCTGGCAGTTTGACTAGGCGAAAGCACAGTCTACAGCTACTTTGACTGTTTATTTATTATTCAGAGTATTTTTATTTGTAATTATATTTTGAGGTCATTTTTATTTGAGTACTGTTTTTAATATTTTTTATACTTGCTTATCGATTCTTATCGATTGTTATCTCGCCGAGTGCATATTTCATACTTATGAATATATGTATACATATATACTACAGATACGGTATGTACGCGGGTATGTGTGTATTTGTAAGCATGTGTGAGCAGGTAAATATTTGTCACAGCGCCACAATCAATTAGAAATAAATATGTTTATCATTCGCCAAGTTTTCTTTTATATAAAAATCGCTCGTAAAGTGAGTCACTTTTCAAATAATCGCTTTCAGCCTCTACACGTCCAAAAACAAAAAAAAATTAAATAGTTTAATATTATTATTTGCTGAAATGTTTCGAAAGGTTTGCCGAATAGTTTCCGAAAGTATTTGATGCTGGAACATATTTTTTCGTTATCGATATTTAGAACCTGAACAGGGTATATTAAGTTTGCCACGATATTTGTAACACCCCAAAGGAAACGTCATAAACCATATAAAAAATATATACAGGGTGATACATTTCGAGGTTCACTACTTTTTTAAAAAAAAAAAAAACAGAAAATTTAAATTTAATGTTAAATGTTTATTATCATTCGAAAGCACATTATTCGGCACAAATTATGTATCAATATTTTTCATTAGAAACAACAATAACAAATTATTTTTGAATGCGCTTGAATATTGTCGCTGACATGTCACCGAAGCGGTCATCTTCAAAACTGCCCTTCGGAAAATCAATGTCCACGAAATCCTCCGCCGAATTGCGCGCCGTCGTGTTAGCGCCTGGCTCATTGGTGACTACCGTGGGTAGTGTGCTCTGCAATAAGCGTTAGATGGTCAACTGAGTTGCATATTCACCGCTTTTCAGTCACTCACCTGTTCATGCGACTTGCGTTCAACTCTCATGTCAAATATGGACCAGTAGTGTCCCGAAACTGCATCATCGTCCGCAACCGAATTTTCTCTACAACAGCAACCACATAAAAATATGCGTCGCATTTTGTGCTTTGACGCTTTATTAGAAACTTAATGCCTACTTTTGCTGCTTGCAACGTCTTCCGGTAACGCTCCTTACATTACCAAGCGTTTGGCGATTTTATGTCGTTTCGCATTAAATGTGTGTTGCGTGACGTTGGCTTCGCGAATGTTAACGCGTCAAAATCGCAGAATTTCTGTACTAGCGCGCCGCATCTAGTTGTTGACAGCGTTTGTCTTATCAGCGCACTCAAAACAGAAATACATTGCCATGAGCCATAAGCCATAAGCTACAATAAAGATTACCAATCGTTTATCGACATAACACTGCTATTGGCAAGTGTTTTCGCAATGTCAAACCGTTGCGCACGATGGAGAAAACAGCTTATTACGCTGCGCTGCATGTTGAGCTGGGCAGTGAGCAAAGTTCGGTAGTTGCAGCCGCCACGTAGTCTATAAGCGCCAACTAAATACTACGCGTTGTATCAGTTTAAATAACTGTTATTCTTCGCTTTCAGATAAACAATGGACAACGTTATGCCAAGGACGAACTCGTGAGCGTACTGCAGCGCGCCATACAGCCGGAGCAGCTGATACCGCTCTACTGGCGCAGCGAAAAGAACTACATATCATTCTTTGTGGATGATCATCGAGTCGCTGAGCGTTTGGACGGACTCGAGCGCGCTGTGCAAATGCCCGATGGCTTCAGACCGTATTTGCGCGTACGTGCCTCATGTCCTTCGACGCCAATCAATGACCAGTTAAAGGCACGCATGCAAGTGGTCATGGCAAAACGTTACAATGCGCAGACCAAAGCGCTGGATATGTCCAGCTTCCATGCAGATCCCGACTTTCGTGGCATATTTTGCGGCATCTTTCGCACACATGTCATGTCGGCGGCGATCGAAATAATGGAGAAGAATATACCGGATTTGGTTGCGCTCAATTTGAACAACAACAACATATCGTCCATGGAGGCATTCAAAAATGCGCACACGCGTCTGCCGAATTTGCGCATTCTCTACTTGGCTGACAACAGAGTGAGTGTGCAAGAGCGTAGTATTTTTTCCGTATATATTTCAGTTAATTGATTTGAATTCCTTTTACTTGCAGATACCGACTGCAACGCATTTGATCGCGCTGCGTCATGTACCGTTCATCGAATTGGTATTGAAAAATAATGGACTCTGCGGCCGCTACAAAGACCACGCGCTTTACGTCAGGTATACGTGCTATTGATTTACTAAATATCGCAACTGCACTGCACCGAGCAGATGCAACTGGGTGCAACGCATGAAAATGCTTGAAAAACGCAAATGGATGCTAAAGTGTTGCGAAGTTATGGAGTAGCGCGCGCGGAGTTGACCGCAACGCTTCTCGGACTGCTGTAACACATTTTAACGGCGGATTGTATAATGTTGCTGGTTGTGTGCTTGCGGCGCGTCTAAAGGGCATGCGCGTGTTAGCACACTAACGCCTGCGTACAGCAATTGCTAATTGCTAATATTTACCTATATGCGAATTATTTTACTTGATTTTCTAATATGTTTTCATGTTTTATGCATACCAAAAAGTTTTGATTTTGAGTAGAGCGATCGTTGTAAAGCGTTGGTGAAGTTCGCCAAGTGCATTACTATGCAACATTCAGTGGTTTTGACTGAAATTGACAACATTTAAAGTAAATAACTAAAAAATGCTTGTTAAGGTGCTTGAAAAACTTCACCAAAGCTCTGATTACTTTGTGCTTGAGTGAGAGCAAAGCTGAAAAGATAAAGCGAAATCTGCAAGCAAAGTTTGCAGAACGTCTCTTAATCAATGTTAAAGCAAATTTAAAGCATAAATATTGGTTTGGTAGGAGTAATGACGTTGCGAAGCAAAAATATAACAAATGTTGCCGAGAGGAAGCTAAATTTGTAGCTCGTACGAAGCTAAGCGACGCTCGGTTTGGAAAAAGAGCAAAGAAAAAATAAATAACAGCAAGAAAAAAGAAAAAATTGAGAGCAGCACAGTGCCTGAGTGGCAATAAACTATATCGAAAAGTATACGCAGCTATATAATTTAGCGTTAATTTAATTTGCTGGATTTCCGTGAACACTGCCATGTCAAATATATATAACGCTACACTGTAAGTTGCAGTTTGTAAACAAATATGAAAATCAATAATCGAATAACAAAAATTGCGTCTTGCGCTGCTAAGTTGCCGCACTTTAAAGAACGTTTACCAGCCTTCGCCCCACTGCATTTTGACAACTACTATACACTTGTGCATGTGGCCGACGCCGTTTATATGATGTGTGCGCGTGCGTACATTGCTGGCGGGCTATTGTTAAGTTCTGTGGTCAACGAAGTAGATTTGTTTGAAAGCGCTAACGACTCGCAATGAGCCATTATAAATAAACATAGGTTTCAATCATGTGTCGCTGTAATGTTGGTGTCGAATTGCTAGGTGTGAGCCTGCAAAAACACCAGCTGTAGTCAAATGCTTGAAACTGCATAAAAAACCAAAACACCAAATAACTGAAGACCAGTGAATTAAATAAAAAGCGACAAATTGCTTTGTCGTATAATTTTTCAAAAGGTATGTCAGCGGAACTCCACAAAAATTTCGCGGATTTCATTGCAGCAAGGCGATTGGCCAACATCTGTTTATTGTCACGCGCTTCTTTGAAAATAAAAATAAAAATTAAAAATTAAAAAAAAAATAATAATAATAAATAAACAATTTAAAAAAAATGTGCAAAAAAGATGAAGCGTAAAACGCAACCCGGTATACCGACTTGAGCGCCGCATAGCTTTGCTTTGAAAATAACTAGGTCGCTGACACATGTATTTCGACACACAGCTTTCATTTTTTATATATTTGCTTTTAGCCAAATTTTTTCACTAGAACGTCGCTCCTTAAACACAGTTCATATTTTTCCTGCGTCCAAAGAGTTCTTTAAGTTTGCTTTCGATGTTTTCGTAAATAATGCCAACAGTTGATATATTTTTTTCTACTACTTTTCAACTTTGCTGCTTAGTCAATTCAATTGTACGTTGGGATAAACCAATTGTAGTGTTGTATATATTTTAAACCAGTTATTCCAACAAAGCTATGTTCATTCGCAGGGAGATCCAGCGTAAATTTCCGAAGTTGCGCAAATTGGTAATTATATTTCCCTTTTTGTTATAAGTATATTATATATTGTTTATGTATTATAAATTTTCGCTACCTATATCGTCTAGGACGGTGAAGAGCTGACGCCGATGATTCAGTTCGATGTGGGCGAAGAAGTTGCTGTTCTCCCTCATGCAAAGGCTTCTTTCCTTTGCGATCCAAATGGCACTGAAATTATACGTCAATTCCTGGAACAGTACTTTTTGATATTCGATTCGGATAATCGTCAGCCTTTGCTTGATGCTTACCATGACCAAGCGATGCTCTCACTGGTTGTGCCACCAGCGAGTCAAGTAGGCCGGTATGCTGATTGATATTTGTATGAAAGCAAATAATTGTTTTCAACTCTATGCTCTTGAATTTCAGGCTTGAAAAATATTGGCGTTACAATCGCGATTTTCGTCGTCAAAACGCCGATGACAATACAAAGGTGCGCCAGTTACGTTTCGGTCGGCTTGCTGTGGTATCAATGCTCGCCGAGTTGCCTAAAACCAAGCATTATCCACGTTCTTTCACCGTAGATTTAACATTGTTTACCGTAAGCAATCGACCTTTTGACTATTCCCTGCAACTCTGCTTATTTTATTTATTTTTTTGTTTTTTTTTTATTCTAGCCGAAAATGATCGTTTTCACTGTGGCCGGCATATTCAAAGACATTGATGAAGAGACCGAAGAATTACGCTATTTTCAGCGACAATACATAATTGTGCCTGCGGGCAGCGGCTTTTGCATCCGAAACGAAATGGTACTAATCACGGTAGCCGCACCACAACAAGTGCGCTTCTTTAAAAAGAAAATAGAGACCGTTACCACAGCTCAATTGAACAACGAAGCCATGGCACCTAGTTCGAGCATATCTTCTAGCCTACAGAACCGATTGCATATCAACCAGCCTAGCGTGAGTATATCCGACATTTTAGTTTTGTTCGTTTTCTAATTTTTTTTTTTTACTTCGCAGACCTCCGCAGCTGCAACATTGCAAGCGCCACAGCTAGGCATTGATGAGGCAACAAAAATACAAATGGTGCAATCGTTATGTGCACAAAGTAATATGAACATCGAATGGAGTAAGAAGTGAGTGTATTTTTGAACAATTCAGTGTTATAGAATGTGCTAAACAAATTAAATTTTTTGCAGATGTCTAGAGGAAACCAATTGGGATTACAATCATGCTGCGTTTGTATTTGACAAACTGCACAAGGAAAATAAAATACCACCGGAAGCCTTTATTAAGTAAATAATAGGCTACTATTAGTTAATTGTCGCACTGCGCTGTTTAACCACGCACATGGTAGATTTTTAAGCATTTAAATAATTCTGAATATTGTGAATTACGCCTCTATTACATTGCAACATTATAATGCTAAGCTGCATGAAAATCAAAACATTTGAAGAAACACTATTGATTTACAAAGAGAAAAAAAGCTTTGCAAGGAGTATGATTTCATTGTATTCACTGAGAAAATATACAGTTTTTGGTTTCCTTTAAGCTCAATTCGAAGATGTTTGGCAAAGTTAATATTTGATTAACCGGAATAATAGGAATATTGTTTCGTATATGTATTAAAGCAATTCCTACCTAAATTAAATTTTGTACCTATAAAATAATGTTTTTATAGAAAGGCTAAGATAAAAATAAAAACAGTAATGGTTTTGTGAAAACTTATAAAAATTATGTAAATAGTTAATAATTTTTGTTCATATTTAAAACCTCGTCATATATCTATATGTATTTACATATATCAATGAAATATAAGCAAACATTAAAATAAGTGTGGTTTGGATTTTACAGGTTTTTATGCTATAAACCTTGCGTTCCCTTAATAATAAGTTGCACGTAACCGGTCCAAATCCATATCCTGTTAAGTGCAGGGCTGATACGTTAGGTCGAGAGCATGTTCCAAGAACCGTATATGTCTTTTCCGGAATTATGTATAATCCTTGAATTGTTTATTTCACCGGTCTGTGAAAGAGTTTATGCATTGTTTACAATAAATTTATTAAAAAAACAAAAAGTTTTTAAATCGCCACTTCCTAAGGACTTTGTATATATTTCCGGCAAACAGCTGATATCTCTATATATGACAGTTTAGTTAGGTTGGCATTTCTGCTGTTATGCAAACTCAGCCGTCAAATTTGACATTTGGCAACCAGAAAATTTTTCTTACTTTTGAGCATAAGCGTAAGAAAATAATTTAAATTGACCAAATCTATTAATTTTCCATTGTAATTAATAGATAAGGAAGTTAGTAAAATGTCGGCTGCAGCTAGTGCCGCTAGAAAGCAGGATATGCCCCCACCGGGCGGCTATAAAAAAATTCCATTTCTGCGAGTTCCAGCCAAGAGTTATTTCACAGGTGAGTTTCAAGTAACCTACGTAACACATTTCAATTGTTATTCTATTAATTCGTTTTGATAATGCAGGTTTTCAATTGCTTGCCGGATACGCGGTTGTTACAACCGCAGGAATGTATGTGTATTATTTGACCGCTAAGCAAATTCTTCGTGAAGAGATAGAGAATCGTTCAGCGCAATTGGTCATATATCCTCTGCTCATAGCAGAACGTGATCGCGAATATTTGAAGCAACTGCGGCGTAATCGCGACGAAGAAGCTAAACTAATGGCAAATGTGCCCGGTTGGAAGGTAAGATGTTGTAAAATATTATCGCCTTAATTCTAAACATATTATCTTTGCAGGTTGGTACTTGGTATGGTGAGCCCGTCTACAAGACGCTACCTAAAGACACTCTTATAACCCCCATGTTTAAGGAATTCTATGCTCATACCGATTATAAGTCCGCCGCCAAGCGAGCCCATCTGAAATTATGGTCTTAAGCCTTTTTTCACTCTGAATTTTCAACGCCATTCAATAAAAATCGAAATAGATCTGCGAAATAGGAATGGATTAGCAAATAAATAAAAGTAAACCAGCTTTATTTTAATATGGACTTCTTTATTAATTCAAAAATTTACGTGTCATAGAATTAAAAAAAGTTATTCAAGAAGAGAGGACGCATTTCAAGTCTACAGAATGTTACGTCCGTCGAACATTGCCTCCAGATATATTCAACGGTTTAAATGACATATTTACAAAGTATCATCTAGCAAATGAAATAAACAAGTTACAAATAACATAAGGTACGGAAAAACTTATTAATTCGTAGATCTAAATAGCGTTGCGTAGTATAGACGTTATATTTGTGAGATTTCGCGTAGACGCAAATCACATGGGGTTATTACTTCATGTCCCGTCGCCGTTTAATTGTACCATCACAAGTTGGCAGATGTCTCTGTAAGAAACCCTCAAACACAAATTTTCGCCCACATCGTTCACAATGGAAATCACGCTTCTCTCCCAACATTTGTTTGTGCTGTTTTAATTGTTCCGCGTTAGAATACTTCTCGCGGCACTCATCACAGGCATAACGCCGTTTCACTTGGCCTTCTTCGAATACCACCGTAAAATTTTGCGAACAAAATGAACATGTGAACTCTTTAACCACTATCTTTTTTCCTCCATGCTGTTCAGCTAAGGCCTGAGCTTCCGCGTCTAGTTTATCTTGTTGTTTATGACTCTCCATGTGCGCCTTCCATTTACCTTCGTCAATAAATTTTCTATAACAGCGAGTACATCGTCTTGGACCTTCCCCTGTGTGCCGCATCATATGCTCCTTCAAATACGATACTGAATTGAATACCTTATTGCAAATTTCGCATTTTCTCTGTTCGGGTGGAACTTCTTCACGCTGCTTCATGCAAGCGCGCATATGTAGTTTTAATGATCCTGCAGCACTGTAGCAATTGCCACAATTGGGGCAATAAAAAGTCTTAGAACGGGAGCCCATCGCGTCGGTTGGGCTGAGGCTGGCGTCACATTCTCCACCGCTTTCAGTTCCCGTCTCTTCGGGAATTGGCGATGAAGGTACAATATGTAAAATGGTATGTGTGCCATCGTTTTCTTCCACGGTCTCCACCTCTTCGACAGTATGATTGTCTACTAGTTGTTGAATGGTCACAGCACGTCCATGTTCATCAATTATCACTTCTTGTGTGCTCACAATAGTTTCATGTGTTCCAGACAATGAATCAACCGCAGATTCAGATTCTTCCGCCGAGGTAAATGTAGCATATGCATATTGCGCACCATCTGGAGCATTGGGATCATGAATCAGTACCGGAACCACTTCCTCTTTAACCGTTGAGGTCAGTGTTGTGAATTTGGCTCGCTTTGGGTTCATATCGCAAAAAAAAATTAATAGAGTTTCAACGTTTCGCGTCTTTTTCGCTGTAGTTAGTCAACACTTTTTCACCGAGTTGATTTTTTTCCCGAACCTTTTGCACTACCGAAGGTATTTGACACGAAAATTCGATTGTGGCAACATTCAGTCAAAATGGTGGACAGACTTGCCAAAGTGCTGAGTTGATTTCAGCAGAAGTTGGCAGCATTGTGCTGAGCAGAGTTGCATGTATAAGTTTCTTGCTTAGCACTAACAGGGTTACCTATTACAGTTTTTATAGAAAACACAAACCCCGCACTGATATGCAACTTTTTTAAATTTGAATTAACACACTTTTTTTCAAATTTTAAAAACAAAAATGTGAGATATGATATTATTTACTTATATCAATGTTATTTTTCGATACCTCTCTCTTTTTCGTTTATTCCTTTATATAGTAAGCCAAAATATAATTATTTGGTTGTTAATGTAAGTTTGTAATACATACTTACATACTCATATACATTTTTGCTTTTTAACGTATATTCAAATGTTTTGTAACGTTAATTGAGCAGCAGAAATAGAAGCAATTCATTTAACAGTAAAAATCAAATAAATTGAATATCAATTAAAAATCTTTATATAACTTCCTTGATATTTCATATAAACACCGATGGCGTAACGTCGCTCTTTGTTGTTTACACATGCATTTGAATATAAATGTGCATACATATGTGTATGTACTTTTCTCTTTTTTATCTTCCTCCAATGGATGCATCTCAAGTTTACGCGATTTCACAGCTCCGAATTTCACAAGAGACAATTGAATGCACTTGGTGGATTTGCAAATACATATGCATGTGCAGTTATGCGCATACATACACACATATGTACGCATGTGCTTAAAAGGTGTGTACGTCAGTATACATGACTAATGTATTCTATTTACAAATACTTTATAGATTGTAATTACGTTAAGTTGACTTTCATGAAATTGGAGCAAAAAGTAACTTTACAATATAATACAAACACACCTGCATGCATATGTACGTTTGTATATTTGTGCGTTTATGTACTCATCTAATTAATCATCAATTGTCAAGCGGTTTGTTCGAAACTTCGCCGTAATAAAATAAATACAAGTGATTGGGTTAGGTCCGGGACGGAAGGGCATGGAAAACTTGTGCTATATCACATGCATACATACATACAAGTACATATGTATGCACACAAATTACTGCGCATTTGCATGAGTATTTCTCACGCCAGTCACATGCATTCAAAGAAAGCGACGCTTGCTAATACTTATGTATATACATATGTTTGTATGTATTTAAAGCGGCATCTTTCGCTGTGTGTTATATGACTCAAGCCCAGCCTACAAAAATCGAAGAAAAATATGTAAATCATCAATAAATATAAAAATATTATTAGAAATTGTGTGTATGTATGACCTTTGTAACTGTATATGCACCCACACACTGCACTCGGAATTATTGATGGGGAAAATACAGGTGGTTTGTAGCTGACGTGTGCTTTTGTTAGCTTGTTTTTTAATAAAATTAATATTCACTGTTGTAATGAGCACTTATTGTGTCTGCGTTCATTAGCATGTAGATAACTAGTAGCGCTCGATATGCATATGTAAATATTTGTATTATAAGTATAATTTATTACTCGATTTTGGTATTAATCCATATATTTTTTACTGAATATTGCATTTAATACACATACATACATATGTATAACAAATTTCTCCTAACGCAAGAATTGACATGAATATACTTGACAAAAAATGTCTAAAAACTCATCGCTCATATGTACATATGTATAAAATCATTCTGGAAGCTAATGTACTTACTATATACATATGTATGTATGTATTTTTTATGAATTAAAGTGGCAATTGAAAAAAAATATACAAAAATTTTTCTCATCTTTTATTAAAGTAGAAGTATGTATGTTCTTAATTTATAAAAATGCGCTCTTAATATAGCATAGAGAAAGGTCAGGTAACCTCTGACACTACCATACATGTATATATATATGTTATGTGCATACGTGCATACAAACGAACCTATTTTGTGCGAATATATGCTGCTTATTACTACATGCTTGGTGCTTTCACTTTCGCTTATACAGTTATGAGCTTAATGTTTTACATATTTCTTATGTATTTGAGTTCTCAATCTTTAGCAGCATCTCAATGATATAAACAGCGATTACTGATTATTTTTCGACTACCAAAAGTTTAATAGTGTAAAATTAACGCTGTCATATTATTTAAAATTTGTGTACATATTATATATACATTTTTTGTTTTGCATGTGTACGTACGTATGTATATAAGCACACGCAATGCTGGTGGGCACAACGTCAATCACAATAAATATTGGCCAACTTCTACGACGCACAGCACTTAACGGTAATTGTGGTGCTGCCATCCATAATGGTCCAATAATGATCGTACACTTGCGAGTCATTTATCAAATAATGAATGTCATGTGGAAATTGCGTGTTCAAACCGACTTTTATGCCGCCAATTGAACGGCAATTCTGTTCGACTTAATGTTTTCATTTGAGTTTTAATTTTTATTGCACATTAATTCATTGGAAAATGCAATAACGGTTATGATAGGCGAGAAATCGTAGAGTGAAGACTATTACATAGGTAATTTTTTTCGCACTACATATAAACCAATAAACATATACATTGAGTTGGGAGTAGGTTAGGTTTAGCGGATTAAAGTACCGCATTTCGGCTTTCGCTGCTTCCACCTACTATAAACAAAAGAAAAAAAACATACTAACATATTATTATTAGATAACGCTGTTTATTCTTACATTTGCCCCAAAGTTTATGGGGCGTATGAGTGATTCTGAGTGAAAGCTTTATATTTCACAAAATTGTGTAAAACTTGTTGTTGTTTTGTTGGAAAAAGTATGGCATATGTATTTTCAATTAGTTTTAATTGGCCGTGAAGTCATCAGAACGAATTTCATGTTTCATTTCTTAATTCATTACTTTATTTACTGCTATATTTCAACGTACAAACACACATGCATTTGTATCTACACACATAACTATTTATATTTAGAGTATACATATGTATATTTGTGTATAAAAACATTTATATTTGTATGTATGTACATATGTACATATGCATGTATGTAGATAAATCATTCAATTATGCAAGTTTGTAATAAAATTCAATATGCAAATGTTGTGACAACGATTACGTTTGCAAGATGCCTGCCTACACATTTTCACTGTACACACACATGTATGTAGTTTCATATGTGTGTACGTACTTAGTATGTATGTATGTAGATAGATATTTGTCAAGATTGCAAAATTAATAGTCAATGTTTTATTTGCTAATAAAATCATTTATATATGAAAGATTTATATCGATGTGCATACATACAAACATTTACAGCTTTATTTGCGTGCATTTGCAAATATTAGAGTGCAAATTTCATACGCCATTCGTTACATTAGCTATTTTTAGCTGCGTTTGGCGCGACCAGCCTCTATTTGACACGTAAATGGCTTGGAATGATGTGCATATGTATGTATGTTTATACTTATGAATTTTCATATAAGTAGTTTCGCTTGCTCATTCAAATTTGCGCAAATGTATGTATAATTTATTTCTTGAATTGCTGCTGCTTTTATAGAAGGGGCAAGGTGCGCAGGGGCATGAAGGCAGACCATGTATTACAGCCATATGTATGTATGTATGTTACCTTTAATACCTTTCTTTAAGATATTCATTATTACAACAAATGCTATATAATATATATGTACTATATGCAAATAAATATAATATTTACAATCACACGTATGCATACTTATGTATGTAAGTATATGCATGTAACTAATTTCATTCAGAAATAAGTAAATACATTTGTATATAACTATGTAAGCGCCATACGAGCCTACATATGATGTGTACATATGTATGTATGTATGCACATATAGAGGCAGTGAGTACGCATTGCATATTTTTACCTGGAATTTACGGTATCTGTAGGTGTATATAAGCATATGTACATACATACATACGTTCATGTACATACATACATATATTTACAGTGTGACAGAATGTTGAAATGCATCGTCCAGCTCTACATTTTTCCACCTTTTTTGCTTTTGTTATTGTAGCCGTTATTCTATTCGTCGTTGCACGAAATATGTAGCTATTTTGCTTTTACAGGTAATGCAGTGTACTCAACAAAAATGGGAAATATTAAAATCGCTCGTTGGCTGCGGTATTCATATGCCTGCACAATGGCAAAAAGCAGAGCGAAAACAGCACAGAACTGTAGCTAAACAAAACGAATTGTAAGCAGTGGAATTTTCCACTCGGTTTCCGTGCAATTTGCGCTGGGTGTATTAACCCCTTCGTTGCTGCGGCAACCCAGTAAGAAACAATACAAAAAAAAAACTGTACACACATGGCAGATTTTTGGATTTCTCAAACTACCCCTAACAAACTACAAACTGTTGGATCGAAAAGTTATGGAAAGTTTTTGCAGCAACACCCAGCAGGGGTTGGCACCGCTAAAGTTACATACATACATTCAAACGTATATATATACATATACTATAGCACAATCGCTTGCGCGTTTGCTGATTCAAGCGTTTCGTAACTGTCTTAATTTGAACTTTCTAGAATATAGTAGCTCGAAGGCCTGGCTCGCGAATCTGTCGCAACTCTCAAAAACGCCCGGTAATTGCGTCGTCTTTAAATATGGTGTTGCGTGTTTACAAACAGCGCACTGCCACTTAGTGGGTTAATACAGAATGAAATTATCGCTATATAGTTTATTAAATTGCAGGCGAGCGAAAATTCCAACACATATGGTGTCACTGTTTGTGCGGAGACACTTTTTATATGAATTTGTATGTTTGCGATCACATACGTTTCTACATATATACACACATATGTATGTACAATATGTATGTAAATATATATGGCAGCGTGTGTTCATGTAGCGTTAGGCGAATTCGCCCAGTGAACAAAGCAAACGTCCATTGCGAGACAAAGTACAAACGAATTGAACCAAGGTAAAATTAATAAAACCGCGGTTTCATACTAACTGAATTCCTGCATACATGTGTATTTATACTTTTTATATTTACATACATATGTATGTATGTATGCAAATAGCATTTTTACAGCGTTCGTATGCCTTTTATCGGCGCTAAGATTTTATAACTCAATTAAGCAAATAAATGAATAAAATGCAGGCAATTTCAAGTTAAAGCAGAAACAGGCAATTATAAGCAAATAAAAAATGCAACTCAATGCGACTAAAAATAGTATGCAGTTAAGAAATAAACATAATACCGCTTCACATATTTACATTTTTGTTTGTATGTTTATATATGTATTTGTAAGAACCAATACATTGAAAACCCAACATTTTTACAAATTCAAATATTTCTCACCTTTTTGTGTGTCGGCAGGGTTTTTGTGCAAGCGTAATTATGCCAATATTTGTCTATAAATGGTTTTAAACAGTCTTCAAACGACTAACGCAATATTTTTATAAGGGTATGATATGAAATCCACTTGTATACGCTTCAATGCTTGAGATCACCTGTCCAAAGGTGAAAAATTAATTTCTCTAAGCTTTTGCTCTAATTGAACACGTATATATGTACATATGTATGTACTTATGTCCCTACAAGAAACTGCTGATGGCTTCACCTATACACTCACATTTATTATGTCAGCACTGACAGTCAAATAAACAGTAAAATGACTGTTAATGTTTACGATTTTTCCAAAAGCAAATTCGGTATACGTCGAAAAGAGACAGTATACATTTCCATAGAAGTTTCGAGAAGTTGTGACATACTTACATATGTAGCTGTTATTTCGTGCGATAAACCAAAAGTGTTGCGTGCTCCTGTGTAATAATAATTTTTGTTTTAATAAAAATAAATAAATAACGGAGTTTTCAAATATAATATACGTAAGTTATTATTAAGTTTAAAATAAAATTATATTTTTAGTTAATTTTCATTTTTATTTAGGCATTTTTAAAGTCCGAAATATTCATGAACTGGAGAAACACGCAAAGCAAAGCTTTTGAAAGGAGCAAGCATTGAATTAAGTGAAATTTTCTTTTCATAATTTATTATTTAATTTTATTTATGTTACACTACCTTTTATATTTATGTATATTATTATAATAACCTTTAATTAAAAGTTTTGAATTTATTAAAGAAATAAAAATTATATTATCTACTGCGCAAAAGAATTTTTTACTTGTGATAGATTTACAGTCATAATTGACAATTTTCAGCAATGGTGGATTTATGGTCAGCAATGACTCAGAAAAAGGCTTGAGAGCTATGACTGGCATATTACCGTTCAGATGACTGTCATTGTTCTCGTAGGGTATACACAACTTCGCATTATTTTCCATTACGTAATATTTTTCGATTTTCCATGCAAAAATTTTCCGATTTCCTCCTAGGTGCACAAACGCTGCGCATAAATCAAAATATTAACAGCTGCAAGCAATCTGTTAATAGAGTGTATAATTTCTGCTGTGAACTCTACTCCCACCTGTCACTCGATCTCACTTATGTACACACATGCATACATATGTATGCACATTTGTAGCTGTTGTTGCAGCGCATATGGGATAAGTGGCGTTGAGTGCTTCAATAAGGTCGATTGCCGACAGCTTAGTGGACATATTGTAATATAAATAAATAGTCGCCTAGTCGTTCGCTAACTGATATGACACAAACGAACCTTATGAATAATAAATGGCCGGTGGGTGGAAAGTGCATGCGCTACCGTTATATCTTGGCACTTGTCGTTGGTTAATTGAATCACGCGAGTGGTCCGACCACCAGCACTGTGGTACATACATACATACATGCATACTCGTACGTACTCGTTTATTGAATTATGACAACAGGATTGAGTATGAGCTAATGAAAAGTAATGCAAATCGTGGGCGCACTTCAATTGATGGAAATTAATTATTGTACAGTGATATCGTTGAATCAGCGCTAAAATCTGCATAAATTAGGCATTTCCAATAGCGTTGACTTTTTCGTTCACACACACACATATGTCAATATATAATATTATTTACGTTATACAAATTTACATATAAATTTAAAAATAGAAAAGAGTATTGGCAAGCAAAATGTAAACAAACAGTTTTAAAATATATCAACAAGATACATACACACATGTATGTGTATGCAAATGAAGCGTATATTGACAGCATTGTTGCAAATTTTGGACTGCTGTATAAAAATATGCGCTAGCAGAATAAGCGAAGATCTGGTTTGCGGCATGAGAGCTACAGATCGCGCATCATACTCGCTGCTAGTTGCCTTTGCGCGTCGATCGTGTGTTTACACTTTAGTCGCCAAAAGTCATTAGCGAATCGAACAAAAGCGTTGCCCAGGCACTACTTTAAAAACTCTCAAATTTCGTTATATTGTTTTTGTGCAACTTTTATTACGTTCACTATACCGTTAGTTCGCTTACATACAAAATATATAAAAAACATAAGCCATATATCTATAAATAATGCAGCTTTTCGCACCACTCAGCCTACGAGCCATTCACTGTCACCACTTCTATATCGTTGTGCTTCGCGCTCTCACTGAGTCCCACCAGTTTTTCGCTCTCCGTCCATAGCCAATCGGCTGTGTCCTTATTCTTGCTCCACGGCAGGAGCGGCCAGCGCATTGAATCGCTGTAGTAATCGCCGCTGCACTGCTCTAAGGCTGGATCAAGCGCCAGGCGAAGTTGTGTTTGCGCGCCATCTTCCGGCGACTTCCATAAGAACTGCACCAGATAATGCAACAAACCGAAGCCTGGAAATTTTATATGTCGCACCAATTCCGTGCGCACTACGCCGGGATGACAGCAGTTCACTGTTACGCCAGTGTCTTGCAAAAGTTCGGCCAATTTACAGGTAAACAACACATTTGCCAACTTGCTTTGCGCGTAAGCACCGAAGAAGCTCGAGTAATGGCGTTCGCTATTCAGATCATTGCGTTTAATTCGGCCAAAAATGTACATAGCGGAGCTTACGACTACAATACGACTTGGCGCTGTTGCTTTAAGACGCTCCAACAGTAGATTTGTCAGCAAAAAGTGTCCCAGATGGTTCACGCCCAACTGCTGTTCGAAGCCATCAGCCGTGAGTTTGCGCGGTGTGGCCATGATACCCGCATTATTCACTAAAATATCCAAACGTTGCTCATCGGCTAGAAAACGCGTTGCAAACTGACGCACAGAAGCCAGCGATGCGAGATCCAAAGTACGATTATAGACATGCTGATTGCCAGTGCGCTCTATGATCTCAAGACGCGCAGCTTCACAGCGCACCGCATCGCGACAGGCCATATAAATACGTGCGCCCCGACGCGCCAATTCCAAGGCGGTTGCCTTGCCAATGCCAGTGTTACAGCCGGTCACAATCACCACCTTACCATCAATGCGGTTCGCCTTGCGATAACGCGGACCCTGTATGCACTTGCGCAGCAGCCATAACAACAACACAACGATTAAGCCGATAAGAAGAATAGGCAGTAGCCGTGCCCAAATGCCATAGAAACACAGTTTCTCATCTTCGTTATCTGACATATTGTAAACCGATCGTGTGTTATTGTTTGTTTGTGTAAATATGTGTACACTTCGTAGCGAGATTATTTTATTTGTTTAAAGTGAGACTTTGCGTACTCAGCGTCGAGCTTAAACTGACTTCCAAGCACAAATCACCACCACTGGCAGCGTTTCACGTTTTCCTCGCTCGTTGATAAACGTTAACCAAGTCAACATAATTTTTGTGCGCTGCTGAAGCGCAGTAAGCTCATAGACATTAGCTGCAGCATGTTTTTCGACAGCGGTGAAAGTGGCGGTTCCCATATACAGAGGCCATAGCACAAAGGTTCATACATACATGGGAATGGTAAGCGATAGCCCAATTACCCTGCGTAGCTTTCGAATGTAAGTACGGCTGGCTTCCGCTGCAGTGGCTGCCAAAAGTAACGAGTAAACAGCGACGCATTAAAGCCGACATGTACTCGTACATATGTACATACATATATGTATATGAGCTCGACCTGTATTTAAACCAGTAGATAGAGCATTGAAGTACAAGTATTGTAAGCCGCTTCGAAGAACTTTGAGCTGGGTTGGCTTCAGAACTTCACACATACAATACAAATTGTAAGCTGGCAGCGCAAAACGAGGCTGCATACAGCGCGGTCGCAGCTAAAGCCAAATACGTAGTCACTTCTCGCGTGTTTACTTGTCAAATAGCTGCTGCTGTGGCTGCTTTGTATTCCAGTCATACCAGCTGCAAGCAAGCGTCCGTCCAGTGTAAGTCAAAGCTGGCAACCGGTTCACCATGAACTTCCTCGCCCAAAGCAAACGGTGCAGCATGTCAGACTGTAAATAGACTTGCATACATTTGTATGTATGTAAGTGTGTTTGTGTATTAGTTATAAATGCACGAAGTAAGCACGGTTTACTTTGTGCAAGCAGCTCTGAATGCAGGCGCTCTAATAACTGCTGCTGTAGCAAAACTTGGTCAATGAGCGCTGAGAAGCTGCACCCTATAAGCGGTCTAGGCGCATACATAGGTATTACTGATACACGATACGGACAAACTTAGTTCAAAGACAGAGTAGCTTATGCTTAAAGTGATAACTAAGAAACCCACTTACCATTGCCCAACTAAAAAGAAATTCCATTTTAACAAATTTTATCACTCTCGGTATTTTTGTTGTTTTATAAAAGGTTTAAATGTGTAATATGTGTAAACATTTATGTGCAGAGGCTTAAAAATTAAGTAAATACCATCAAGAACTGAACAGCTGTGATACATATTGAAGCAGTGTAATAGTGCGCTACCTTGCTAGGACGCCGCTTCATTGATCCACCACTATTGTTTGCACCGCATTCGTTGTGCCCTGTAAGCCGACTAACTTTTCGCTCTCTTTCCATAACCATTCCGCCATCTCTTTGTCTTTGGCTTTCGGCAGCAAAGGCAAGCTTGTCGAGTCTGCGTAGAAGTCACCACTGCACTTCTCTAGCGCCGGATCCAATGCTACACGCAATGTTGTCTGCGCACCGGCTTTAGGCGTTTTGACGAAGCAGCCAAATATGCGCAACCAAATTGCATTGAACCAGTGCGTAGAAATGCTATAGCGACCCAATTCAGTGCGCACTATACCGGGATGAACGCAGTTGACGGTTACGCCGGTATTCCTAAGCATTTCTGCCAACTTTCGTGTGAACAGAATATTGGCCAACTTGCTTTGGCAGTAGGCGCCCAGGAATTTCGAATAGTGCTTATCACTATTCAAATCGTCTTTGTTGATGCGTCCGCAGATGTAGGCCGCTGAACTTACCACTACAATGCGACTGGGTGCGCTAGACTTTAGGCGTTCTAACAGTAAATTTGTTAACAAGAAGTGACCCAAGTGATTCACACCAAACTGCTGTTCGAAGCCGTCGACGGTAAGCTTTCGTGGTGTGGCCATTATGCCGGCATTATTTATAAGAATATCCAGACGTTCTTCCTCTGCTAGAAAACGTTCGGAAAATTGGCGCACCGACGACAATGAGGCCAAGTCCAGTGTGCGATTGAAGACGTTTTGATTTTGTGTGCGTTCAATGATTTCTAAGCGTGCGGCCTCACAACGCGCAGCATCGCGACAAGCCATGTAAATGCGTCCACCTCTGCGTGCCAGCTCCATGGCAGTCTCCTTACCTATGCCCGTATTACAACCTGTCACAATCACTACTTTACCGTCGATGCGTGTCTTCTTGCAGTAAAATGGCCCCTGTACGCACTTGCGTAGCAGCCACATGATCAAGGCTATACCGATGCAACAGACAAGGATGAGTACCAGCCAGGCCCATGGACCACGAAAGCACAATGATTTTTCCACGTCTTCCAAAGGGCGGGCTACTTCATCCGGCATATTCAGTGGCTGTATATATAATATATGATTGCAAAATGTAAACGTTGGTTTTGCAACAAAACGCTCGTTTGTGGATTTGCGCTCTTGCGTTGTTTACTCACAATGCAACTTTCTTTTAGACACCTTTACAGACAACTAACTGCCATCCACCAACTTCCATCATGAGCACTGCACCACTTAGTCGAAGTATGTTCGAATTTCAGCAGTTGCTTTCGAATTTCGCTTCGCTGCGTAGTAATTTTGTGACTTTCTTTTAATAACCAGGCTAATACACAGCCTACTACTACCACCAGCCGGCAACAACTAAGGTTTGGTCGCGGGCCTCTCACAGCGAAGATGGAGTGATACGAGCATGAACAGTCGAATACCAGTTTTGTATTTGGCTGTAAGCGCTCTAGCTCTCAGCGGCTGTGGCACACTCCGAGCCCGGCATAAGTATATACATACAAACATACATAGACCACAGCGAAACCAAGTTGATATTTGCCTTTGTTGTTTTTTCACTTGCCATATAGGTACATACATATGTAATTAACACTTAAATTTGAATATTCGCTAAAAGAACATGGAAAACATTATAAATTCGAAATATGGGTAGGATATTATTTTTTTATCGTTCATATATATTTTTGGATCTGCTGATTATAAATGGAATTTTTTAATTTTTCAATACCTGTATTACCATAATTTACTTTCAACTCAATACACCATTAAATGAACAAAGTCGTGGGCAGTTAGACACAAATCCAAACTACATACATCTGCCTTAACCTGGTCTCATACTGCGATTGTCTCGATGCGTTCGGTTCTGCTTAACCCAACCAACCGTTCGCTCTCACGCCACAACCAGTCAGCCATCTTTTTGTCGGTGGCCCACGGTGGTAGCGGCCATCGTATGTAGTAAGAGTAGTAGCCGCCTGTCGAACGTTCCAAGCTCGGATCAAGCGCTAGACGTAGCGCGGTTTGTGCACCTGCTCGGGGTGGGCGAGCGACTAGTCCGTAAAGCTTGTAGATCATATACCACATCCAAGCTGGTTTTTGGTCGTTCAACATTAATTTGCTATACACCATTCCGGGGTTGCAAGAATTCACTGTTACGCTAGTACCGTCCAATATTTTCGCCAACTTTCGCGAGAAGAGTATGTTTGCTAACTTACTGTTACTATAAGAGCCGAAGATCTTCGCATAACGCAGCTCACTGTTCAAGTCGTCTTTGTTAATACGTCCGAAGAGATGCATGAAGGAGCTCATTACGACCACACGACTCGGCGCGGCTGCCTTCAGACGTTCAAGCAGTAGATTAGTGAGTAAGAAATGTCCTAAATGGTTGACCCCAAAGTGGCACTCAAAACCGTCGGCGGTGAGTGCGCGTCGTATAGTCATAACACCTGCGTTGTTTACTAAAATGTCCAGTCGTTGTTCTTCCGCGTTGAAACGCGCTGCAAATTGACGCACCGACTCCAAAGAAGCCAGATCCAGGGTGCGGTTGTAGATTTGCTGATTGCCAGTGCGGTCAATAATATCCAGTCGGGTGACCTCGCAACTCGCAGCATCGGGGCAGGCCATATAAATGCGGGCGCCACGCCGCGCAAGCTCCAGCGCGATCTCTTTGCCAATACCACCATTGCAGCCAGTGATAATGACGACCTTGTCGTCGATGCGATTGCGCTTGCGGTAGTATGGACCTTGTTTGATTTTGCGCAAAATATACAATATGGCAACAATGAGGAATGCGATAAGGAATATTTGTATGATCCAAGCCCAAGCACCGTGGAAACATAACGTTTTTGGTGAATGCCTCGAAGGTGTTTTCAACACAAGCTCCTCGGTCATGATGGCGATAACTAAGCACAGCTATCACAGTGTTTAGCTTAAATGGCTTTACCAAGGACTGCACTTTCTGCAGGAAAAAGTTGAACTAAATTTTAAAATCAGTGTCGTTTTGAGTTTACTGATTTTTTTGGTAATAATCTTGTTTTAGCGTTTCGGTACACGAGCTAACCAACACAACTGCTATTTGCAGGTACTCAAGGAGGCGGCTACCTTGACCGACTACGTGGCACTTTTTGTCCGAGTACTTTAACCATTGCATCAAATTATTGGCCCTTGTCTAATATATTATTAAACATTGCGTGTCTGTGGCTTCAGGCATTTTCGGCCCTTAAAATTGTTACCAAAAGAAAATTGGACCTGTATTGCGCTCGTGCAGCGATGTGGGGAAGCATTGGGTGTAGTTGTAAACACCATAATTTTTCATAATTAAAAATAATCAAGCCAATTTAAAAACCCTGCAGTCGCTGCACCTAGCGGCGCTTACTTACAGCGCCTCGAAAAAAAGTTATAAAAAAAGTAAAATATATTATTCGTTTTATTTCGTGGCTGGTCGAGGTGAATAACATTTATGGGTTTCTGTTTTGATTCTATATTTGAAGTGAAAGTTGTTTTTTTATTAGCCGCGTTTCCATACGACGTCGCCGCTCCCAACTACAGCGCCACACCATTGTTAATGTCTTCAGCTTTCTTTCTCTCATGCACTCTTTTCTTGTGCTCTTTTGAAGTTTAAACATTTTGTAGATATATAAGCATACTCACAACCACGCGTAAACGCTGTTCGAAAGGCAAGCAGCTGAGAGCTCTACATATTATATATAATTTGGCTGCGATGGTTTTGCCAAAACAATTTCTGCCGAAGGACCTCTTTCGCTTCCTAAGCTATCAGCTGACCATGAGAAGTATTATGCTGTAATGTCCTTGAAACATACATATGTATGTATGTGTATAACGAAAATTTCGTCATATACTGGAAAGCGTGCGCCGTCTCTCTTGCCACTGTAACGGTTACGCACTGCGTTGTGCCTTCCACGAATACGCGCATGCCATCTTACTTCCAACTACGCTGTTGGAACAGTCGTACATTGAAAAACAAGTCCCATTTCCAGTGGAATACATTTGGGGCCACTGCTTCGTCCAAGTTTTTGTGCCGTGACGAGGGCGGCGACCTCACTGACGTTGATGTGCTGCTTTGCACGTACACCCACCCCAGTGACGTGGCAAGTGGAGCAAATCTGTTGCAAAGCGGAGTGTAACAGTTTCCTAATTCGCGCATTTTCGCTACTTTTTGTCGTGCGTTTTCGTCTATGCGCTTTCATAGCCCCCTCTCCCCCTCTTTCGTAGCTGTGCGCACTTGCCTTTTTTTCGGCGTTCGCGATTATCGACCGCATTGAGTGTAGGTCATGTCGCTTGTTGCACTGTTGGACATTTCGCTTTTTCTGCGGCAATGCACACGAATTCGGCGTTTCAGGATGCAAGCTGCGGCATATGCTTTACGTGTCGACGCAAACTATTTATAAAATAGTTTCATTATTATATTAAAATATACACTAATCATACATTAATAGATATGACACTGTTGTGTGCAAACCTAGCTCGCCGCCTTTCTTTTTAAATTCGGCAAACGAGTGACTTCTTCCTCTGCAGCACTTGTACTCTTTTGATTCGCTTTTATTTTTGGCAGTTATGTGTAACTATTAAACAATGCAGCGCTGTCTTTCTATTCAGTCATTAAATACTAGTCATTGACGAGTTTTATTTGTCGTGCAGCTAAGCGTTGCATGCCACTAAATTCACATATCTACATACACATTTCAGTGCATGCCTTGCCATTTCGCGTCAATTAGAGCACGCTAGCGGTTTATGCTGATTTGCTCAAGTTTCACTGCATTTCTTTGCCCAACTATTCTGTTTTCCCCAATAATTTGGCTGGTCGCCCATTTGGCGGGTCGCTGCAGTCCACGCCTGTTATTCTCAGACCGTTTTGGCAGATGCAAGTGCGCTGGCTTTTGTTATTGCCAACAATGTAAAAAATTAGTTGCGTCAAACGTCATTAAATTCCACTCACAATCGCCACCCAAACGCCGCTAACGTAGGTAAACAATTTGGTATGCCAATATGTGTAATTAACAATGTACTCGTACAATATACTATTCTAATTTAATTAACTGCTTGCGAATAGTTTGCAAAACAAAGAGCTGCCGTGCGCAAGTAAATAACTATTTTGTTGTTGTTTCCGCTTTTGTGGGAAAATGACATCTGCATGTAAATGTTCTGTTATTGTTTACCGCTTCGCTGTGACAGCTGGCGCTCAACAGCGCATCAAATAACTCAATCGATGGCGATTGAAATTGGAATTTGGGTGTTAGAATTATAATTTAATTTCTTCTAATTGTTCTGGTTTTGCCATGCACGTGCTACTTGTGTGTTTTGTGCTGAAAAGTGAGTGCAACAAGCGTGTGTGTTCACTGCGAAGGCCAAACGCATGCATTCACACATCGCGGTGCTTAGCTCACCTTGAGAGCAATCGCAGGCACGCCGCAATATTTGCACATGCTTATGTTTCTAATTTGCATATGCATATATGTATGTATATGCTTTCGTCAACGCTTTGCAACTGCACTTGCAAGCTTTCACTGCCGCGCTGATTCCGCGCCAGCGTCTTGTCTGCCAAGCCTGAGGTCTCGTGCCTAACTGCATATGCTGTGCTATATGCTGCTCAATTCGTGTGTGAATTTTGACTCATAACTGTGGGCAGTATTCGCCTGTTTATACAAAATATTCGCATGAATTCGTGATTTTATTGCCTACAAATGATGCAAATTGCAAATACAAACGGTGTGTGTAAGAAGACTTACTTAAGGACTACGCATAGCTGCATATGTACATTAGCGTGGGTCAAAAAACCGAATGTTTTTTTTTGCTTGGTACTCTAAAAAGTTGAGTGATAGACCCCTATAATAAAGGCTCTCCAAGTATGAGCTCTTAATTGTAGCGGAAAAGGGCTTCGCCTAACGGTTTTCTATTTCCCTAATGTATGTGTACATATTTATGTCTTAAGAAGCTATTTTAATAATTTCTTTTAATAAGTTTTGCTATTTTCAAAAGGACCAACTTAATGTATGTATGTATATATATTTATGTATGAATGAGCTATTTTCATACTCTCTATTGATTTTTATATTCAAAAAGGCGCGAATTTCAATGAAAGAAGCGAAAAAAATATTTTTTTTGACCTACCCTAATGCATGTATATATATTTATGTATGAAGAAGCTATTTTCATGCTTTCTATTAATAATTTTTGCTATTTTCAAAAAGGCGCGAATGGCTATATAAAATCATTTACAAACTCACGCTGCTTATTCATTTACAATATATGTAAACTCACATACAACTTTCTGTATATATGCACATATATATGTAGTATGAATTTTTTTGTCTTTTGTAAACTGCAGCGGTCCACCGGAAATTCCGCAAACAAAGGCTGGCCGATGCATGCCGAGCATTTGCAAATTTTTTCTTATATGATCATTACTTTCTATACACCTTAACGCTTTCTGCCGCACAGTTAAATATGAAGGATAACTCCTCAACTCAGTTTTTTATTGTGCGTAATGCTGTAATTGCGAATTAATGAAATGCCATAGCCAGCAAATAGCTGTGTGTTTTGTAATGCAACCCTTTTCACACCCATTTCCGCACGGCGTATCAGATGCCGGCAAGTACCTTGAGCGAAAACCTAGAAATGCTGCTTAGGCGGCCTTTTTGTGTGGTCACTCTCGACATTGGAATTATTGGACTTGCTTAGGTCATCATTGCGGCAACAGAGTGTTGGATTTTTTTTTCTACTATTGGCTCGTTCACTAAGTAATTTGGTGTTTTTTTAGTATGATCAACTGTTGTCATCAAATGAAATTACTTAGTGAACGAACCAATCGTTTTTTTGCTAACATTTCACATAGTCTAATCACACTTTCTTCTAGTTTATAAAGTGAAATTAAAGCTGGGTCATTAATAAAAAATAAGCCTGCGAACATACTGTGTTTCAACCGCTGCTCAATATACTTTGCTATCAGACTTCTTTTTTTCAACTGACATTACAAACATATGCACATTAATATACCAAAGAGAAATATGCGTATTTTGTTAAAACTTACACCTACTGGCTTTTGCCTCTTTCACACACTCGCGCGCAAAGAATGCGGAAAGCCAGCTTCTAGCTTCATGGCGCGGCAATTCCCAACATCTGCAAAGGCCGTTTATGCGCCACGCCGCTGTCAATTATTAATATGCGCCGCTATCTATTGGTGGCAAATAAAAAGTGTATAGTATAACTGTAATATATGAGCACAAGCAAGTTTATTTGATTCACATTTATTAAATCATAAATCACATAAGCAACAACGCAATATGGCTAGTCGAAATCGAGAACTTTGTTTGCCTCAAATTAATAAAATTGTGTGCGAGCACAAGAACTGTCATGTAATTGCAATTTGCTTTTATTGTTCACTTTATTGGCACTATACTGCCTTTATTTGCATATTGTCATGTGGATATGTGTATATTGCGGCTCAAGGTGGGTGGTTACATGAGCGCCCATTAACCAGTCAAATGTTATAAAAGTTAGTTAGCGCTGGAAAATTGCAGTTGTGAAAGCGCTTGATTGGCTGTGGAATATAGAATGCAAATTAAATTGCGGCGACACATGAGACGTCTTACATAATTAAGTCTTTTATGAAGGCCATTTGGCAGTCACAAGAAGTTGTCGTAATCTTTCATTTTCTTTATTGCCTAGATATGACATTCTTAAACTCAACAACTCAATTGAAATAATTTCGTGAATTTTCCGTTGCTTGCGATTTACTGCATTTTGCCACTCGTCCAATTGGCGCCAATGTAAATCATTTCTGCTACATGTAGATATGTATCTTGGCATTAACGTAATATATTTGTAAATAGCAATGTTCTAATTGGCATTACATGCGACATGCATGTTTACTCAGTTCACCACCCTTTAACCCTTTCACCGCTTCACGTATTGACGCTGTCGTCGTACTTTTTTTAAAGCTCATTATACAACAATAAGTAATTATATACAGATTTTATTGTATTTTTTCTGCTGCTTGATTATCTAAATATATTTATTTACATATATGTGCATACATATGTTTAATTTATGACAAATTTTGATATGCTTAAATATAAAATAATTTGGGAATTAAGCAAGCTATGTAGTTTAACATATTGCCCCAAACATGTATATACATACATATTAGGGTGGACCGAAAAAATTTTTTTCCAAAATTTTTATAATCTACAAATTTTGCCCTGAGGCTAAGCAAAAAACAATTTTTTTCGCTCCACCCTAATACACATGACATGAAATTTTTGAAATTGCACAGCATCTGTTATATGCATTTCATCTATGAACGAATGTCATTTTTTACATAGTAAGTACTAATACTCTTGAGCGCACATCAATCTTTTGCATTTATATTCAATTATCTAGTCAAGCGTTATAGCTAGATATTACATATAGTATATACTAACATTTATTATGCAATTGCAAGTTTTACAGTCAACTAGTTGCAGGCAGTGTGACAAATGTGTATGCAAGCCTTTGAATGTCCCCGTAGACGCTGCGGCATAACGTGCGAAACTGGGTGAAGGCCAGCAAGCATTATTAAAATATGTGTATACATACATACATGTAAGACGTATTGTCAAGGCTTAGTTGAGTAGTATTTAACTGCCAAGCATTATTCTAACAAGCGACGCAACAGTATGCAGTACATACTTACACTTAGACTGCATGCACATACTAATATTATATATAATATATTCCTTTATAAGCAGTAGCTTAAGCAGCGCAGTAGAGTCCTTGTTAGATTAGATTAATTCTGAGGTATGCACCGTGACCTATGGTCTATTGTGCCCTTAGAGTCCTTGTTGGCTAATTATTATTTTCGTTTATAATTATGCGTACTTTTTATTACAAACATATGTGACTTAAAAAAATTAAATAAAAAATAAAAAAAACAAAAAATAATGAAATAAAAATTAAAAAAAGAAAGCAAATGCGGCTGTCAAGTTTTGACAACCAGTTCAGCATAACAGTTATTATTATGCGAGTTTACTATAAGCTCGTTCCTTGTGTGCGATAACATTTCACGCCGTGCACAATATAATTTCTGATTTGGCTCGGAAGCGAAAGAAAATCGCTGGTGTTATTGTTGGTGGTGCACGAGATTATTGATTGCCGTTAAGGTGTGCTGTAATTAAATGTTTGTGACACACCTTTTTACTCTACTCTCTACTTTCTATGACGCCGTAACCTTTAAATCGTTGTATATCAAACCTTTTAAATGAAACTACAATAAGAACGCATTTTTTGTATTCTGTTGTATTCATAAGTGTTTATTGTTTATTTTTCTTTTTTCATAGCAATATTAGAAACAAATGCTTATCGTCTAAATGTTATACTTAGAGTTATTTTTTTGTAGACATGTATAGTTTGTATACATTTAAAGCATTTCACTTAACAAATATTTTTATTTTAAGCAAACTAACTGTATTTAAGTTATCTCATACATATTTGTGTATATAGATTGTTGTATGTATATATAAGTAAAGTTTAACATTCATAAAATATATAAAGCAGAAAACTCTAAGTTATACTTGGCAAGTCCATTTTTTATACAAAGTACACACTATAATTAGCAGCTAGTAAATATTTAAAAATTGTTTCTTTTTATTGACGAACTATAAATGAACTTTAACGGACACTGGAACTCGTTTTTCTTACTTATTTGTTAAGATGACATTTTTCTAACTCTAAGCTCCACATTTTCGTAAAAGTTCAAGTATAGCTTTACAATATTTTTATGAGTCTTGTACGCAAAACATTTTTTTTCTAATTTCTCTACAGCGCAATATGGAAATGGCAGTTTCAAAATTGTATAGTTTTCGTTTTTTTTTTGTAAGAATTTGGAAGCATTTTTCCCTGAAAACCGTTTGAAACTTTTTTTTTTACTCTTTCTCACCCATTTTGCTTGCTGGCTTCCCACTACTTAGTACTTTTTGTTGTAAATTAAGTCAAATAAGTTTATTCGCTGTCACTAACACAACCAGTATCTCATATGGTTTCATATCACACTGTATTAATTTTAATATAAAAAGCTGTGGATTAAATTAGTTTACTTCTAAAGTTCTAATAGTTTATAAAAATGTTTTTCGTCGGAAATATTTCTTTTATTTGTTGAATCAAAAAATATACCCCGTATCTTTAATATATGTCTTTGTGTGATATCCCTTACCAGACGCCGGATGAGCCCAAAAATAGCCAGTGTACCGATCGCCGTTGCCTGTGAAATTTCGCAAATGAGCACCGTTGAAGCGCATTTTTCTTTTCAACTAGCTGTCACCATTGTTACGTTTGCCCAGATTCAGCTATTTACAAAATGTTGGGCTGTTTGCCAATTTGCACCGCAATTTCATGGCGTGCTCCCTCGTCTGTCTAGTCACTACTTCTTTTCCAACTACCAATGCGGCTGTGACCTTGCATTTGTGTTGGTCGCGTCAAGTACTGTTCACTCATAGCATGTCGCTCAGACCCGCTTGGACCTTGGGTGCATAGCTACTATGACAGCATTCGCTTCCACTTTTCCTCCGCCTTGTTTCGCAAAACTAAAAGCAATGCGTACCAAACATCTAAAGCCAACATTGCTGCCACACGAAACCCAAAATATAGCTGAAAGCATACAAAGCCAGTTCTAGTGCATTCAAGCGGTTTTATCCTGGCGCGCTCTTCGAACTGAAGCGTGAGCTTGAACGGCGTAGGAAATGCAGTCGTTTACGTGTTTTTCGACTGCGACCAGTTACTTCCGCTTGTTTTGGTTTCTCTGCCGTTTCCGCAGTAACGCTTGTTGTTGGATTTTTAGTACGTTTCTGCTGTAACTTCTTGCCTGTTAGCAATTGTCGTCTGTCGCCGCCTCCCAACAAGCTTGATCCATCCGAGCTGGAGTATAGCTCAATTGTCGACGTGGCGTCTATTTGGGCAACGATTGAGTGCTGCTCAGCGGCGCTGAGTTGCATTTTAGCGAATTTCTTGTGGCAACGCTTGAGATTGGCACGCGTTAACGGCGCCGTAATACGCCGCCCCAGATGTGCGGCCAGTGAACTCGGCGCTGCAATGACATTGCTATCTTCGAACTTGGGCCAATCCTCTGCATCTTCAGCGATATCTGCTGCAACGATATCACTTTCCTTGTGGGTTGTGGCGGTATCCGCCGACGCGCAGGCAATGTCGCGTACGGCCGACTGTCGTCTGCTTGCTCTACCTTCTGGACTGTCGGCCAACGAACGCTGCTGCGTTTCCCTACTATGTTTAAAATTATTGTTTTCTGCTTTTGTTGTGCTGCCATCTTCATTAGGATAGCTGCCGCTACTGTTGCTGTGGTGAAGAACGCTTTCCCGTTCTCATGAACGCTTGGCACTGTCCTTGCGAAAGGACTTGCGTAGCTTATCGACCAAACGTAAATGAAATTTCGTGATATCGTTTTGGCTTTCCGTTGTATTTATTGTCTTGGGCGGGCTGGAGGCCTGGCTGAAGGAACGTGTAGGCGAAAGAGCACCAGCGGCAGACGAGTGCGAGGTACGCGATGCGTTACGAGGAAAGGCGCGCGATGACTGACAGCGCTGCATCTGCATGCGATAGGTGTGCGAAGGTGATGTGGCAAAGCTCTCGGACTTGCATTCAGACACTTTGCGAACACGTCCATTGGCCGGCACACCCATGGCAGAAGACAATGTGGGGGCGCCACCATTCGAACTGGTGGTGGAGCACTCCGATGTTTTGCGTGAACGACTATCCTTATAGATATCGTAGTTATTCTTCATGACAGGCACCATAAAAGCCATTTCGAATGTGAATTTGATTTGTACAAATCGCGGTTTGGTTGTAAGTTAGAGAAAATTATTGACTAAACTGCAAAGGCACTTCACTAAAGCGAAGTTAATAGTTATATTTGCTTTTTGTTGTGTTTCTTCTAGAACCTTCCAATGACTTCGTTTCGCTTCACTTTTCCAGTGACGAATTGCAACGCACTTCTTTTATTCTGTTTTAGATGCTTATTTCGACGAAGCAGTTGCCTTCAACATACATATGTACAAAATCAGTAGCACTTCTACACTTTTATATCTTTACTACACAATGCCTTTTGTTGTTCTTGTAATTGCATATATATATACGCAATAACGTGCTTTAGCTACGTTTGTATATAAATCACTTCAAACCACTTCGTTTTGTTTTGCTGCTGATTTTCTAATTTTTTTAGTTTTCACTGTTTCTGTTTTGTGGTGTTTTGTTCTTATCTGCTCAAGAGTTCGACTCCGAATGAACGGAAGACGGTGGTGTGGTTGTATTTTATAGAAAATCCAACAATTGTGACGAACTGCAGCGCTTCGTCACGGTAGGCTGATGAGAGCCGTAATAGGTTGAAATTTAGAGAGCGGAATCGAAAAGGCAAATTATAAATACGCTATGTACCTGCACTGCTGCGGAATATATCTGGCGGATGTACATAGTATGTATGCACATTGCTGAAATGCAGTTTTCTTATTTGCTTTATTGTTGATTTTCCGATGTATGTTAGCGCTGTGTGTCTGTAAAATCGCTTGCCATTAGAGCGAATAGTTGGTGGTGGTTTGCCTAAGTACTTGTAAAGTCGAAACTCGGAGAAACTTCTGTCACGGCTCTCTCCGAATTCGTTACACTGAGAAAAATATTAGATATAACTGTTTTGGAAATTAAAAAATTACAAAATTATGAATAAATAGAGATTGTTTTGAAATGCATTAAAGCTGACTTTAATACTGCTTGATGGCAACTACGAGTGGTTTTAGCGTTAGGAATCGATGTTCCAAGCCTACTGTACTTTTTGCTCTTTGAACTATTTTTTATGCACAATAATTTTTATTACCGTGTCTGTGTTAACTAATGTCCACTGTTATCTCACTGTTATATCAAATATAGGACGTTTCGGTCAAACCGCTTGTTTGCATATTAAGCGTTCTGCACAACTGCCTATTCTATGGTTCCATAAGTGCCACTTGCCTGGTTGTCTGCTTCAAAAAATAAGTTGCAAGCTTTGGATTAATTACCACTCAGTGCTTGAAGTGCTCGGCACAGACCTGATATCACTCGGTGATCATCACAAGTTGGTGCGACTACACCTGTGTTAAACCGCCAATCACAGTCATCAAGTCTAGTTGTTGCACACAATACAAAAAACGCACACGCGCTTACATACACACTCGTACATACGTACAAGTGATTGCTTTTCCAACAACTTTGTTGTTTCATGTTGCAGTGGGTTTACGGCAAGGGGGTTTATGGTTTATGTAAGCATAGCAAATGTTTTACTTAGCAACTCATTAAACATAGACACACACCAGGAGAATTGTGTGTACATTTATGGTAATATATACAATATGCAGAGCGCCGAGTCGTTGTGCAGCCGTTAAGTGATTGATTACGAAACCTCTTCAGGCTGTCAGCGTCGAATAAAATAAATACAAACGCTCAAGTGGCGAAAACAAAATACTTGCAGATATTTTAAAACGATCAACAATGATATTTTTAAACAATTTTTTTTCGTTGGCACTTTAATGAACGTTTGCGTGTATTCTATTTGTACTATTTTTAGTAGAGATAATTAGCCCTTTAGCAGCTAAAGTTCAACTGTAAACGGCAGACTGTCAGAAATGATCAACCAATGCAGAACTCGTTGGCATTGATTTAATATTTCAGTAGTTGGCTGCAACGCTTCTGGTTCTTCTACAAGTATATTGAAAGCGATACAATGTAGTGCTACCAGTGAACGTAAATGGACGAGAAGGTGCAAATTGAATTTTGTATGCTGCTCGATTGCTTCTAAGTTCGCTGATTCTACTACATATAATAAAAATATATTAATCTACACACACGGATGGCAAATTTGCGGATTGAGTTTTAAGCATTCATTCAGTTTTTGCACGGAAACTCACGTTTGTGGAAAGTTTTCTACTTACTCGTTGGCACTCGTGCATAACGGCGTAGTTATTCGCACAACTTTGGCGTTTCGGCACGCTAACTTTGGTGGAATCATCCAGCAAAAACCTTGAAAGTTTTTCAAAGTAAACTCTAAATGAAACGCTCGTTTAGTTGTATTTGTCATTTAATGTTTTTTCTGAGTTATACTTAAATGTATATATGTTTTATATAATAATGTAGTGCATGAAGTCAATTACTTGCATATTATAAGTTCAAAATTTTGAAGCTTTTGCTTTACTTAATTCTTGGTTGGATTTTAACTAGAAATAAATAATAGTAAATACCGATTAACAATTTGTCATCGCTGCTTTAATTTTTTATTTTTATTTTTTATAATTTACTTCTTAGTTCTCGGATCGATACTTGGTTGCGCGCATCTACGTCTATCTCATTTGATTTATTTTTCATCCATTTATTATTTAATTACATATTTAAATAACCTTAATTGGTAATTAAATGCATTTCCAACAACTTAACTAATATATGTATGTATGTATGTACTCGTGTGGATGTATATACTTCGTACTGCAGACGATTCGAATAACATTTTAATTATTATTATAATAATTTTAAGGACTTTAAGGACTCTTTGAGAATGCACACATCTTTGGTTTGACAATAGTGTATGTTAGTACGGGTATGTGATTTCGTGCTTCTCAAGTATGATTTATCAAAATTGTCTGACTTATTAAAAAACGCTTTTTATATTTATGATCGAATCGAATTGTTGACTAGATTTACAAAAAATTAACAAGCATTTACGGTAGTATAGAAACACGTTGCTAATTTTACGGTTTTAAGCAGGCTTTCGAAATATACGTCATGAGCAGAACACCTTATTTCACTGCTGACAGATTTTGTTCATTGTGTTAGGAAGGAGATCAGTTGGAAAGGTTGTTCGAAATGGCAATATTTATGTCAGAACGTAACATAATTGAGATCAATACCGTATAGTGGAGAATATTAGTAGCATATTAAGCCAAAAACCAGAAATTTCAGACAACTTTGAGGCGCAGTTAAAGTAAATGATTATCAGTCATAGTAAATGCCAAGAGCTTTATTCAGTGGCCTCATATGCAGCTTAGGTTACTTGATCGGGGAAGGGGCAGCTTTATAACTCTCATGCACATTTTCTAATTAATTTCGCGTAGCGATTTAGCGAGCAGCCGTTTACTGTACGCTTTTTTAATTTAATTTGAGGGAGGACTTATGGGCGCCTAGTACTCATTCGCATGCGCGTACGCTAACGTTACGGGGTTCAGGTTTTTGTAAGGTGTTACAAAAATACATGCATAAACATCTAGAACTTTGAATAGGATCTCGTTTGCTTATACTCTATTGAAAACAACAACAACAACGCTTACTTATTGATACTTTTCAAACGACTTTATCGGGTTCCTCACAATTCCTAATACTAAAGGAGCCAGTAATATCATAAAAAGTTTTCAAATCTTAGTTTCAAATTCCATCTGCTGCTAGTCAAGTTATGCTAATGCTTTGGTACTCTTTTATCTAATCCATCGAAGCTACTTGTGGGACTGAACGCGTATACATTGGGAAAATGGTTCATTAGCAAGGCAGAAATTTCTCGAACATTGAGTTATTGCGACTGTTTTAAATCTTCGAAGGAATTCAGCAAGGTGTAATACCAAGCACTTGAATATTTTATGCAAAATATTTCTTTTTCTAGTTTTTTTTCCTGCACACCAAAATTCATTAAAATTCTCAACTAACTAAGCTAATTCCATGTACTTGTCGGCAAGTAATTGGTACAATATGTATGTATGTATGTATGTATGTAATTTGAATATGTATTAGTGTATGCATATACTTGTAGTTGTAGTAGTTATAAATATGTATGCAAGCACTAGCTGATTTCATATATGTAAAGTGATTAATAACTTCTGATATTAGAGCTTAAACAATGTTCATATATAAGTCTCTTTGTTCACAAGAAAAAGTATTCGATTTTCTATGTCACGCATGGAACCCTGCAGTGATAGCGGCAGGTGCACAAAAACAAAAAAATGCTATGCTTAATATTATAATAAACTGAAGTATTAAATGAGCAAGTTCAAAATATTGCCTGCTACACATTCAATGTGCTTTAGACCGTTAGAAGGCATTTTGAAATGATTAAAGGCTTAAATTAATATAAAGAATTAATCCTCAATTGGATGTGTTGTTATATAAAAAGCATTAACATATTTTAAGCAACTGGTGCTCCAAACAAAACCTCACAAATTTAACTATTTAAATGTAGATATATATATTTTAAATATTTTACTAGCTGATCTTAAAGAATAACTACGTGTTAAAACCGCGCTAACAAAACAGAAAGGCATTCGAGTGTTATCTAAATAAAGTAAGAATTCTTCATAAGAAATTTAACTTAAGAACTTAATACGCGTGAGTGGTGAATCCAGCAACTCGTTGTTGAAACGCCAACGGCCTCACTTGCGATTGTCTGGAAACTTGCGATTTCGGGGACTGTGCGAAACATCACGCCGTGGAAACTCGTCCAACTGAAAATAAAAAGCATGCTCTTTGATAAGCTTAAGTAAATATCAGCTTGATCTGTAAATACCTTAGAGGAACTCCCTTTTGAGCGGCTTGAACTTGCCCGTCGCATTGGCACGTCCATCTCGTCATCCGTGTAGCAGCTATACTCACGCGACGAATCACTAAAAACAACAATGAGTTAATGGTTTATAAATCTACCTCAAGTAGTTACCTTGGTTCAATTCCGTCTTGTGTATCGGGATCCAGTAATGGCAACATATCCTCTCCTTGTTGTAGCAGATCAACACTGGTTATGGATTTGCTGCTTGTCACACCTTCCACCTCATCATCGACTTTGGCTGCGTTCGCATTGTCGCCCGCGCCAGCGCCAGCGCCACCTTCACGCTTGGCTTCATGACACTCACATTGACAATCCTCCGGCTTGACATAGTTGTAGTGGATTTTGCCATCCATTGTCACATCAGGTTGTGCTGCTTGATGGCTATGTCCATGTCCATGTGTATGCGTTTGGGGCTGCGATGTATGTTGAACACTCGATGTGGTGGCATGAACTCGACTGCTGCTGGTGCTTGTTATTACACCATCTTTTGGTAATGCCGTGATTCGTTTTGGTGGCTTGCGCTTTTCGGGTATATTTTCGAAATCTATCCAGTGTCCGGAGAGTTTTCGTTGTGTTGTTGTGGTGCCCGACGTTGGTGTAATTTGTGTTTGCGTGGTCTGCACGGTAGTTGTTGTCGCTTTGCTTACAGCAACTTTGGTTTTGATTTCCGATTCGGGTTGTGTTTGTTGCTGCAGCAATTGTTTATTGGAGTCTTTACGTTCCAAATTTGACGCAGTAGCGCGAAGGCCTTCTTCGGCAAACTCAAACCAGGACTTGCCACTGGTATTAGATGGTCGTCGCGGAGACTTTGCGCTTTGTACTCGCTCTTTTGTAGAGTCTTTTCGTGGCAAACTTATTCGTAGTTTTTCACCACGTACTGGAACTGAACCGCTAAGTTCGTATGTTTGTTCCTGAGGTGTAACTATTCCACAATATTCCTCTAAGTGTGAAGGATTCAGTGGTGTAGTTGAGCGTGGTCGTTCCACCGGACATGTTTTCAATTCCATATTGGCTCGATCTTTCATAGGGACAAGTGGCACACCATGTGCACGTTCCTCTGGTAACGTGGTTGGCACATAAGGAAGCTCGTCAAAAGACTCTTGCGACACGAGTCCAGTACTTTCGTGATCTTCAATTGTCCCAACATGACGAGGCAAATGCCGACGCTTAGGATCGGCTCCAGCTGACGAGCCGCCAGCTAAGTCAGAGTCTCGTTCACTTTCAGACGATTCGACTGGTTCATCGGTTGAAGGCATTGATTGCCTTTCTGTTCCGACATGAGAGCCATGTGAGCGACGTGTGGGTGTAGAGGTTCGTGGTGGTTTAACGGGCGTTTGTTTTCCGGAGCGATCTACAGGGGATTGTGATTGTGATCGCGGTACTCGTTGTGTGGGCGTTGTCGAACGACTTCCAGACACGGATGGAGCTGCTGGGGGAGGTGATGGTGAAGGAGCTGTAGATGGTGGTGGTGGTTGAGGCAGTGTCGGTTTACATTGCTGATGTTGTTTTGATAGTTTTTGGTCGTCACGCTGTTCTGCGACGGGAACAATCGCATCCTCCGTACTATCACCAGGTTTTGGTTCAGAAACACTTTGCCTTTTAGGTTTTCGTGGCACATTCTCATGATACTTTTTTCGCACATCGAAATTTTCCAAGTAACGTGAATGCCGTTGATTTACAATCCCACCACCAGCATCTGCATCGTCTTCGGAAGTGGAGCGTGATTTTCTACGTGGTTCCTCATGTGATTCCTTACGACGCATAACCACTGCAGTTACTGTTGTTTGTACAATGTGCTTTTCGTCTTCTGATGTGGAAATCGATTTCTGCCGCCGAGCTGAAACTTCCGTAGAGCTCCGCCGTTTCGGTGGCAACTTCGTAGACTCTTTAGATTCCTGTATTTTTGTTGGAGCATGCAATTCTACCTCTTCCTCTGAGCGACGAATTACTGTGCCTTGCCTATGTAAGGTCTCTGAGCCAGGACTTTCTATTATTGTCTCTTGAACCTGCTCTGAAAGTTGGCTGGACTGACTTTCGGTTTTAGAAATACTAAATTGTGTAGAAAATATTGGATCCTGACTACCTGAACCTAAACGTGTGGTGAAAAGTAATCGACGCTTTTCTTTTGTGTGTTCATTTTCAGGCTGAACTTGTGTAATGTTTACATTGACTGTAGCTACAGTCTCCACGATCTTCGTCTCAGCGCCACTATCCACTGAAGGTAAACGATGAATTTCAGCCTCCGCGGCCATGCCATTTTCCTGCACAACATTTTCTTTAACATTGGCCAAATTTGAACGAATATTGACTTTTATAGCACTCGCATAGCTGGTTTCAGAACCAGCTGTCTCCTGTGAGTCCTGTGAGCTATACTTGTTCACTTCAAGGCTCCATGTACGTTCTTTATTGTCATCTTCCTGTGAAAGAGTGTGTATTGCATCAAGATTTTCAATGCGTTGTAGTTTTTCCATCTGTTGTGAACGTGGCTGCGATTGGCCACTACCTGAAGATCCACTTCCTGAACCTTTACGAGTGCCCACTGGTTTCAAAGCAGCAGCAGCCGCTGCAAGCTGGCTAGCAGTTATAGCAGTTGCAACCGGACGCATCGGTTCAGCATTGAGTTGTTGTATACCGTGCAATAGTTTGCGTGCCTCTTTTTCCTCTGGTGGGGTATGAAGAGGTATGTGGATTACGCCTTCCACAGGTTCATCGTAATAACGTAACCTACTGGCAGGGCGAGATCCACCTCCAGTGGTAGTCGATGATGGCGTGTGTGACTTACTGCGCATTTGTTGCAGCTGTTGCTGAAGCTCATGTCCATCGATAGGTGAGGAGCTCTTCGAAGATTTACCATCGGCGCCTGCATTACTTCCACGTTTCCCTGGTTTGAAAATCGCTAAAACGGATTTCTGTTTACTTGGTGTAACATTTTGTGACTGCGGCGTCGGGCGTTCTTTACTTTTACTGCGGGATCGTGAACGTTCACGAGGTGAATCAGGTGAGTCTTTACCGCCTAGTCGAAATAGCGAACTAAATGAACTCTTTCTCGAAACTGAAACAGTGGCTGGTGAAGGTGACCGACTGCCATGTGTATCCTTCGTCAAAGTGCCGTGTCGCGTCGGTTTAGGACTAGCCGTGGGTGTAAGCCGATTTTCATCCACAGCAGGCCGACCTAAACTCAATGAAGCAGGTTTCTTTTGACTCCGCGAATAAAGCGGAGCAATGCTGTTCGGAGCCTCCACAACTTTCTCATGAGGGGCAATACCTTTGTCGTTATACATATAGTCAGGCTTCAGGTTAATGCGTATATACTCTGTGCCGCTGGGTGTTTTTCCAATTACCATTTGTCCAGGACTTTTGCTACTTCTCCGCTGAGCACCCATGACTGGCTTTGCAACACCACCAGGTGCAATAGCTACAGCATTGGGTCGCTCCGTTTTCTTAGTACTTTTCATTGGCGGTTTAGCTTCACCGTTTGATAGCGATGTCGGCTTCTTCTTCGGTGAACTCTCCACTGTAATACCTTCCGCCAACACCGCCTGTGTTGGATCGTGCTTACGTGACAGCAAAACTTGCTCAAGTAATTCAACAGTTGGTGGCTCAATGGTGGTTGAAAGTCGACCGTCCACTACGTTTTCCAAAGGTTTTGGACCACAAAATGATGTCTCTAAAAGCATGCGATGAGGTGAAGGCGAACGTGAGACACCCGATACCGCTGAGAGTCGACTCACAGCCGAACCCTGACTGCCAACGCTTGATATACGACTTGTGCGTCCGGAAATACAAAGCAATGCAGCGACCTCGGAACTGGCCGAGTCTTTACGCTGGTGCTGTTGCAAATAGCTTTGATGATCGTCAAATTTGAAGATGTGCGGGGAGGAGCGTTTTACTTGCTGAAAAAAAACAAATACCAGACAATGTAACAAATGTAAAAAGCTAAGCAAATAATGAGCAGTCAAAGAAAATAAATAAGTACGAGTATATCCGAAATCGGTTGCTCCACCCGCTACCTGAAGGATATAAACTTAACAGCTGCATGCAGCGTCTAGTAGGCGACCACTTACAATTGAATATTAATTATCAAAGCAAAGACAAGTGGTCTAACTGACAGGCAAGCAATGCAATAAGTTGTCAAGAATCGCTGCAGAAGCTCTGGGACTCAATGCCACAGAATGGCAGACAATGTCGTAAGTGGGTTATGTTACTCAGTCTATGATGGCGGTTAGATGAATTTACAAAACTCTGACAGACAAGCGAGATAAGTGAATGAAACAGATGAAGAACAGAGAAGCATTGCTGACTTATTCAATTAAGCGCAAGCAGTAAACTGAGGTGAGGAATACAACAAATAAAAAGTAGCCGATAAAAGAGTGAAATATGAAGGCAAAATTAAGTTATAAAGTCTTCATAAAGCCATCACGAGCTACTGTGCTGATGTTGAGGTCAGTATGAGCGAGTTGGGGACCAGTCAGAGCCCAGATTGTGCTATAAGAGCGCACTTACTTTATATAAAGAAATGGAGTTCCTTAATTTGTGACGCACACTAATGTACAACTCCCTTCGCGCACCATATGCTCAGCTATGTACCTATCATGAATTTGCTGGTTATAGGACCATATAAAATGGTGTGCTCTTATAGTTTCTTCAGTTGGGTAAGAGCCAACAACGCAAACAATAAAAATTCACAAAATTAATGATTCCATTCGAAGGCAAACCCAACTATACCATTTACTAAATTCATCCAGCGTTAACCTACATTTTGCAGCCGCAACGTAGGAGTGGGCAGCAGATGTACACACATGCATATGTATATCTAATGGTGTGTGTGTGTGTTTCCGGCAATATGCATGTGTTTTGTTGCATGAGAGTTTCGGAAGGGTTTTAATTTTCAATCGAGCAGCTTGCCAAACACAATTGCACTGTAAAGTAGACCAACTGGTTCTAGGACGTGCATGTCATCAGCATTGCAATATCTGAGTGATTTTAACGTTCACAATGGCGCTGCAACATTTTCGATGTGCTCCTCATTCAGATGTGTAAATAACTGGGCATACGAGTATTAGGTTGGAGCAAAAAAAAATATTTTTTTTTGCTTAGCCTGAGAGTAAAATTTGTAGATAATAAAAAAATAAAAATTTTGGAAAACAAATTTTTTAACATCGCAACTTAAGCAACCTTGCGCTCGGCTAACACTTAAGAATGCTCTTGAGCTCATTTACTCGTTGTCATATAAAATAACGAATCCTTAACAATTTGATAGTTTGTTCATGTAAAGGAAATTACCTGCTGTTGCATCTTCTCCTGCTCCTCCTTCTTCTGCGCCGGATCCATAAAGTACAACTCTTCGGTTGAGCTACGTAGCTCCAGAGCGCCCTCTTCGCGAAAGCCCACTCCGATTGTTTCCTGTAGGGTGCCAGTGCCAACCTTCATTTGATTATCATTTTTATTGCAAAAAATTTACAACAAAAAAATCAAAACGTAACAACAATTTTGAAAACCAAAAACAAAGTCAAAAGCGCGAATATATAACGGCGATTTTTGTGGAATTTAATGGCATTATACACAAAGCGTAGTGAACCCAAAAGTATGCAACGAAAAGGGAGTATAGATGTGTGGGTGACGGAGCGTGTAGCAATTGCACATAAAACAAGACGTATGAAGGACGTGTATATGTATATTTAACAAAAGGGATGAATAGAAGCATGTAAAGGGAGAAGAAGAAAAAGAGAAAAGCAAAGAAAAATTTACTTTCCAAGTGTCAGTGTCGAAAGTGATTTACACATACACACACACACAGTCTTATGCATATGTATTATGTGCGTGTGCCTTCATAATTATCTACGTGTGTGTGTGTGTCTGTATGCGATGCGTTATGTTCACACTTATACAAGACTGAAGCACAGGCGAGCACAGATGTGTTCGTAATGATGATATATGTATGTATGTAAATGCTTAGCAGCGTGCGTGTGTGTGACATTAGTATACGTGCGTACATTAACTGCTTTACAACAATAACAATAATAATAATCTACAAATCCCATGCGGCGTTGCAAAATTATCAGCCGCTTTCTGACAGTTGTGTGACTGTCGCGTTCGGCAGCGAAGCGGCGCGGCAAAGGAATGCGGGTGCACAATTAGTGGGTATACAAATGTGTGCAGTAAATGTCAGATGAGTTGCAGGTTATTTGTTTGTGTGTGTGTGTGTGCGTGCGCGTGCTTTTGATAGGCTTGTGTCGCTGAAATCCGCGTAACGTATCAACTTTTTATGACGTCGTCAGCAAATTAAGTTAATTTAATTAAATTAATTAAGTCAAATTTGCTGAAAGATGGCAATTGCACACTTTCGTAATGAGTCGAGGCGTGAGCATGCGCTGACTGAAAGAGCTGAAGAACTGAAGTGTTATTTACGTTTAATTATGTAAATTATGAATATTGACTTGGTGTCTGCCAAAACATGCTAAAAATGTCTTTCAATAGATTCAAAACTTAATTTCGACTTCTGCAGTACTTTATGGCAGTGCTCCCATTTGCGCTTCAGTGAAGTTCAGCACTTTTCATAACCGTTGAGTGCTGCTACGGTGACTGCCAGCTGAGTGGGTCATGCACTTTAAACTTTATACCAATTTTCCTTCACCCACACAACAACAACTATGCTTTTTTGTGAGCGAAGTAAAGTGTAGAGGTTTTGCAAAAAGTAAATTTACCGTCGGTTGCTTTCATTTGGTTTTTGTGCTTTGAAAGTACGTGTATGTGCATTTGTGCGGAATTTTTTTTAACGCTGCTGTAAAACTTCAGCAACAGGCAATGCAAGTCACCTATGCCAGCGCACGCCAGCTCCTGCGTAGTGCATTCACTCAGCCATTGTGTTTGAGCTTGGTGTGTGTGTGTGTTGATGTGCGGCCAGGACAGCGTTCGGTTGCTTTTAACGTCAGCGCGGTAAGGTCCATCACATTTAGAGCACACAGTACAACAATCGGCCGAAAACAATTGCTGTAAGTGGTGGGAAAGAAGTGCAGGCGACCACACAACAAGTGCAGTGGCTGCGATATCACAATTGCAACTTGTACTTGCCACCAACAACAATTGATAGAAATAACACAAGCTAACTGTTAACAATAACAGCTTGTCATCCTGTTTTTCCACATAGCGGAAATTTGGTTTGTTTTAAGTTGTTATTTTCTTGCCTTTGCCTTTGTTTCCACCACTGCTTGACATTGGTTTGAGCACCGTCGAATGAGTTTACACATTTCTAAAGTGGGTCACATTAACTGGTTCTTGACACATTCCAAAGACAGTCAGAAAACAAACGTCTATACAAAAACATGTGACAGAGGTACACTTTATGTAAATATTTGCATAAATATTATTTTCGCAAGAGATAAAGGGGAATAACAACATAGAGGACAACGTAAAATGTCTTTATGAGTGTCGTGAACACAAGAGAGCGATTGAATATAGAAAGGTGAGTTGTTGTGGGTTCAGCATGTTAGAGTTCAGCTCAGCCGTCGCGGTTACCTACGCTTAGTCAGTGAAAATCAAAGATTTGGAAGATCCGCATACTCATACAAAGCGTACAGCCAATTGCAAAGGCAGCCGAAAGTAGAGAGCTGTCAGATCAGCTAAATGTCGGGTTAATATTCTGATACTAAGTACTATGGTGGAGCAAAAAAATTTTTTTTTGCTTAGCCTGAGGGTAAAATTTGTAGATTTAAAAAAAAGAAAATTTTTGGAAACTTTGGAATTTAACATTTACTCACTTTTAAAGTAAATTTCGAGTTAAAATTTTTTGGGACAAAAAAAATGTTTTTGGTTTAAACTCTTCTTATTTATAAAAAAAAATTTCCGAATTTGACGGTTTTTGACTCAAAATTTAATTTAACGCTTAAGGAAAGCATGTTGTCGTTTAATACTTTTTTTGTAACCTCCAATAATGACTACAAAATTTTTTTTTAAGTTGATAACTTTTAATTGGCCAGAAAAAGGACTCTCCACAGCTTCTAGAACACTTATCAAAAACTTTTTACGAAATAAAAATTTTAAATCGAAATTTACTTTAAAAGTGAGTGGGCCGGGCCTCTGTGTGTTAAAAATTTTTTTTTTTGTTTTTTCCAAAAAATTTAATTTTTTATAATCTACAAATTTTACCCTCAGGCTATGGAAAAAAAATTCCGTCCTACTATTTACATATATAATTTGTAACTCTCAACTAAAACATCTGCGAAATCGACAACTTAAGTGCACTTTGCATAAAACCCGCACTGCACATTGTTTCTTTTGGCCTGCCTTCTGCCATGTACTGATTGTAGCTGGTCCACTTTCTAACTGAACTCATTAACCCACAAAATGAACGAATGAGCAGAAGCAACGGTGCTTATACACCAGCCATGCACAGTGCGACAGCTATTAAAGAGGCGAGCGACTGAAGCAGCTCTAAAACGTGCAGAAAATCATGTTGGAGGAGGCGTAGGATGCAGAAAGAACTTTAATGTTGGCAGTGTTGTTGTTGTTAACGACTGCAGGCAGCAACGGGCAGTAAATACAATAATGACAGTTAGCCATTAATGTGTGCGCTTTTATGCGACGCGACACGATGTGAATGTGCATGAGTGGAAATGTGCGATAATTATGGCAAGAACGAGAGAAATTTTCAAGCAAAAACTGCAAACATTCGCTCACCCACTCACCCTTCTCGAGATAGCGATGCTAAAGCAAGCCAAGCTGGCGTTACTTTAAACTTCTGCATCGTGCGGCTGACACACTCGCTCGCACTCACACACTGACATCAAATCTCATGCACATTTACTATACATACATACATATTTACAAAACGCATTTTCTCGCATTATCATCACCTGTTCGAACACATTCTCTGGACTGCTTTCCCGGCTGTCCTCTTCGTGATGCGATGACGACGATGCACGACTCAATTCGATGCGGGGCGTGGAGGGTGTGGCAAGCGTAGTGGCTCCTTTGTACGCGCCTCCTACTGCAGCCGTTAGCTGTTGATGCTGGAATTGTGGCTGACCAACAGTGTCGCTGCCACCTGCTGTAGTGCTGGCGGAGCTGCTCGCCTTTAAAGGAGTTGTTCGCCTCGTATTGTTGCCTTCGTGTTTAGTTCTATTGCTTGCGAGGACTGCAGCGGCGGCGGCGTTGGCGTCTGTTGCAACGACACCACTTCCCGACACCGATACAGCGATACTAGGTTGCTCTACTTGGGCATTTCTTGTTTTCCCTATTGCGATTGCTGTGTCCGCAGCTGTTTTATTAATATGCTCGCGTGGTTCCATCTGTGTGGAAGAGAAATATGAGTAGCAAAAACAAAAAAAAACGTTTTGTATTTTAATGAGTCGTTAATTTCAGATCAACTTATGTCGAAGTACATAATTAATGACTATTTATAAGCTACAATACGGCGTGACTGTGGCTTTACCGCAATTTCTAGACTAAACGTTAGTGGCTCGACGCAAGGTATTTGTTCACGCCAAAGTGTAGATTTTGTGTTGTAAATTTGACTTGCTTATTTAACATTTATTTAACTATTTAACTAACTTTTGTCAGAGTTTTATTTGTAAGGCCAAGACAGGAAGGGCCTTTCACTGCGTCGCTAGCGTAAATAGTTTAACTTTTAAGGTTAGCAATGAAATTTCATTGAACATCAATTTTTCCACAAAATGTTTTCTAAAGCACTTTCATTTCCTATACACTTGTGAGTGGTGCTTCCGGCGTTGTCGTTGCTTCATAGATTTCATCCTTGAGCCTGACAGCTAGCGGCAAATTTAAACGCACGACATAATATTATTTATAGCACCACATGCCCACATATCTGTACACAGTATTTGTAATTAAATTGATTTCCTTCACTTCCGATTGTCGAAGCTTTCATCGAATTTGAAACTTGCCACTTTCGAAACTTTGCAATTTAATTAACTGTCAAAGGAAAGTGCACAGATAACGTTATTGCAAGACACAATGCCGCCGCTGGCTTAGCAAAATTCACTGGATACATATTCAAAAGAAATGTGTGCCACTCTTGCCACTTCACAACACAAAGCACACACACATTTAAGACTTTCTCAACAACTTTTGCTCTTCAACTTTCTAAGTATTTTGTTTTATCGATAATTTTTTGCAAAAAGACCTTACAACTTTCAACCGTTGTAAGTTTTTATTCACATCTCTTTGAAGTACTCGGCTAGGCCTGTTTAGGCACAGAAATTTGACTAAAAATTGGCTCGTCTTGTCTCGGACAGCTCTTACCCCGACAACCTCAACACTTATTGTCTATTTGACTACAGTTTCGCGTAGCTTTGCAATTCAACAGACGAAGTCAAACGCACCAGGCATTGCATTGCAATATAAGACTACTTCTGTTATGCTGCTTTGCAATTTTAATTATTTTCGCTTGTGCGTCTTTTATTCCTTTTCAAATGTCTTGAACTTTACAATACGTTTACATTAATGGCTTGCTTTGCTTGCTGCATTTTTATGTTCGTGTGAGTGAACAGGAATACGCTTTGTTGTTGCTGTGTGCGAAATTTCAGCTGCCATGTACGTCCTTTTGCACTTGAGCTCATATGAAAGCCTTGGATTAGACACTTCGTACAGCGCCGAGTTTAGTACTGCTTAGGCGCCCAAATTTTTACACTTGAATTTTTCACATATACTTTTTTTTTTGAAAGGAACAATTAAGTGAATATTGCAGACTGCCGTTAAAGTATTGCAGGCGCATGAAAAATATAGAGCTCAAGTTGTTTCACAGTTTCAGGGTACACAAAAATTTTCGTTCAGCACGAGCAAGAATTTTGGACACAAGCTCTGCATAACCCCTGCACAGGAAAAACCAATTCACGCACATAGCAGGCTTAAGCTGCAAGGCTTTTACATGTAAATGTTGTCAATTGCACATGTATTTGTTGTCAATTTAAGTACCTCGATTTAATTTGTATTGGATTTTTGATTAGTTAAAGTAGCTGCTAATGTGCCTAGAAGTAGGCAAAGGGTGCAAATATGCTGATACACATACCGCTTTCACGGTGGATATGTGCGGCGGTGACGAAGGTGGTAACAATGAAGTACACCACTTCCAGACGAGTCCAACGACTGCGATTGCTGTAGCTGCTTCACGCACGCACCGAACACCAACTGACAGCCAGCAGCTTGTCAGCGGCGACGACAGCTTGTCTGGCGACTGGGCTTGTGAGCTTTGCTGGAAAGCGCGCGTGCTTTTCGAATACACACCTGCTGACGACCAGTCGCTTTAGAGCTTGCACATAGCCGCGGTTGTAACGAGCCATTGGTGTGTTGGTGTGTGCGTGGTCACACAGCTGTTGGTTACAACATTTCGCCAGCTTTTTCTGTTGAATTCACAAGCTTTTGTTCAGCACATTGTCAGCTATGGTAGCTTTTTGAACGACTGCTGAAGAGGGTTATAAATATTGTGGCCGTGCAAAAGAGAGTAACGCTAAACCTTTTGTTTACATTCGCATGTGACAACCAGCTCTACAGTACATTGTTTTTGCTGGGTTTGCGATGGCCTTCCCTATTTGACAACCGCAGGCACGTGACTTTGAATTCGAGTGACAAAAAGCGTTGGGTGGCGCGTGTGCGTATGTATACGAAACGCCGCTGGCTTGTTTACATACAAAATAAAATTTAAAGTTAGCACAGTACGCTTAGTAAGGCCAATAAATTGCGCCGGAGTTCGCAGACGCACAGGCGTTTCCAAGAAAATGTCCGAATTTCAAATTCAACCTAGCAACCGAGTTGTTGTTCATAGTGGTATATATAGATAAATATGCAAAAGTAAGCTTTCAAAGTATGTGATCTATTTTGTTTGTGGCATGCGGCAAGCGACTTACCAACAACTCGCCATTGCTGTGGATGTCCTTGGCAAGAGCTTCATGTTCCTGCAATGCGCTGAACTTCGTTGAACCCAAGCAAGACGCTGCTGGCATAACCGTTGCTGCTGTGGCTGAACTGCTGCTTGTCATAGAGCTTGTAGTGCTGCTATGGATCGTGTTGCCCGTTGATGCCGTGTCCTCAAACGACTTCTCGAACGATGCAATTGGCGCGGCGCCAAGCCGCTTCTGTTTTCGCGCATCCATCCCGGACGCCCTGACTGCTTGGCAGTTATGACTTCTATTTCGCTGCTTTTACTGTAGAATTGTCTGTGATATGGTTTGTAGTAGTGGTGTAGTGTAGTAAACTAGAATGTTGCCCGCACAAATGCTGCGTTTTATATTTAACGGGTTTATGAGCAACTGGATGTGCGTGTCGAGTGTGTAACATTTAAGTCAGCGTAGACACTAAGTTTTTATTGCGTGATTCATTTTGAATATATACTTGAAGGCAGAACGTTTAACCTAACTTAAAATATATTTAGTTTGCATTTTTATTTATTTTTTCTACACTCTGCCACGCTGCTATTACGTAATGATTTTAAATAATTTAATTCGTCTTTTTTAAATGCATCCACGTCGCTGCCTTTAACACAACTGCATTTAATTTTTTATCAGTCACGTCTGTGCTGAGACCGCTGTGTTGCCTCAGGCGCACTGAACTGCACGCTAACTATCCGAATGCCCTTGAGGGCAATAAACTCGAGGTTATTACCAAAGTGTAGGCAACAATGCAACAATGCAACAAGCCAACCAAGTCGCCGTTGTGTCGTGCAACGGATGTGCAAACAAAGGCATAGTGGCCAACAATGTTGTGCACATAAATAAATAAATATAAGTAAATACGAAAAGTTTGTTGCTTGTGAACATAATAAAAGCAAACAAACGTCGTTTGCTTCGCGATTTTGCACTCCATGGCGGCTACTTAATTTCATAAGAACGCGCTGTAGCCTGACATGTTTGCATACGCAACAGTATACGCTAAGGTCCATTAAGCGCTCCACACTAGGCGCCAGAACACTTCGTCTAGTTTTTTTGGCATTTTAGAATAAATTACTGCTGGTTAGAGCATGTAACAAAAACTGTATAAAATTAAGCGCATCGTTGCACTGGAGCGGTTGTGTCACCTAGCACGGAAGTTGCTGACAGCGCCCTTTATAACTTACGCGCGGTGTAATATTTGTTTGTGTTTGCCTCACTTGCACTAAAATGCGATAATCTATCGCAAGCCTATGGAGAATTATGCTCGAAGCGCTGCAACAAGGCTGGGAGTAACAGCGCTGCCTTTGCTGTAAGCACGCTTAGTTAAACACACCGCCCTCGGTTGCATAAGTAAATAGCTAGCTGGTATATATTGTCAAGAAGCAAAAATTTAGCTCTTCACCTTTTACAATTAAACTTTATTATTTCTTTTATTTTTAAATTTCTCGTGAAGAATTGAATTATATTAGAAACCTTTATGAATTCAAATTTTTTTTGCTGTTTCAGCAATATTTATTTTCTCAATATGACCATTATTGTATTTTAATTATCTGCTGAGCACCATACTAACCTCAAAGGCTTCAATTTTTGTTGCAGTTAAGTTTCACTACACTATAACTGTCTGGCTGTATTTATTCTGCCGACGCAAAAATAATTTAAATTTGCGCGCTGCTACTTCATAAACGACCAACGCAAATTAACAGTGCCAAAATTTAATCTACCACGCAAAGCGCTAGTAGCTTGTGTGAGCTTACTCTCTAAATCGAATTGTTTACCTCGTCACAAACTTTAACTAAGCGCCATTGAACATACTTGCCGTACTCATACGTTGCTCAGCAGTTGGCGTCGATTACCCACTCACATACACATCCACCGTATATATATTTTATATATGTATGCATGGAGCAACGCTGTTTTAGATTAATAGCCATGAACCGTTGGCATTGCAACTGAGTCCAAGCACAGTACGTTATCGGAAGCAGTACCACCAAAGTTAGTATTCAATGTATACCAAATGGAAATTTGCGCTGAGCCGAACCTCTCAACGCACAATGTGTAGCAAACAGGCGATAACTGTGAAAAATGTGTATAGGCTATGGTGCTGTGAACCGTAATTATCGTTTTCCGCAGGTGATTTCGTTTGCATGTGGCGTTAGCGGCACTCATTAGTGGTGCGCCGTGGCGTATGAACAACATGAAATACTCCCCTATAGCGACGATTAACACAAATGCCTACGCATAAACATTAAACAGACTCTATCGATACGAACGACTGCATTCTAATCCGGCACACATTATCTTCAATTCATTGACATCACAAATTGCTCGATATTGCAACGCCATTGTCTAATTACGTTATTGCTCTGACAATATTTATATCTTCTAACTGGTGCTACAGTTGGCTCTATTAGTTTTCGGCAAACACAAATATTCGCATATTCGAACACCTCTTAATGACTCTAATCGCGCTATTAGCATTTGTAGTTTAGCGTGTTAATATAGGTGCTTCTGCGCAAGTCAATTGAGTAAAATTAATTGGTTTTTAATTGTTATGCCAGCCGGACATGCGAGCCGTTTTGCCACTAAATAGGCTAGCCAACGAATCAAAATCGATTACCACTACGTTGGCTGTGTGGCAGGTGTGTGCGTGTATGCGCATATGCTGCTAGATCAATGACCACAACAAAATGTTGAAAAATGGGTCAGAAAGTTATTTATGGCGGATAATAGCTGTGTGTTGTGGTGTGGCAAGTCTCTGGCTGCAAACTTACGTAAGGTTAGTTACTGACAAACTGACAAAGCGCAAAACTGTGAATACTTCCAAGAGCTCGAGTGTACAGGAAAAATTTTTGTTAGCGTTTGAAATATGTTTATTCCAATTTTTTTTTTTTTTTTTATCATATTTTATTCATATTTAAATAATTATGCGTAGAAAGTTGCAATAATTGTTCCAGTTTGTAAAACAAATTGTGCTGAATGTGCTCTGAGCACTTGAAATTTATATAAAAAAACGAAAACAAAATAGAATAGCATTCGGTGACAATCAACGGCAAAAAAACTCTGTACATTGCTGTGTCACTCTATTTGTCTTCACAATGACATCATAAAATTACCTAACCGTTAGTTAGCATAAAATATTGCAATAAAAGCAAGAGTAAAGACGCGTCGCGCAAGTATGGCAGTAACGATGATTGCGTGTACTGAAGAAGAGGCAGAGAAACCACTAGAAGTTTTTCTTGCTTAACATGTTCTCAGTGACCTATTTGCTCATTATAAATTCATAAATTACATAACTCAATTGCCGTTTATTGGCTTGAATGTGGTTTACTTCAGTGCAGTGACAACTAACTGACTGTCGCGCTCTTCTTCCACTGAAAATATGCATGCTACTTCTTTCATATTTTCTTCAATGATCAAATGCTTACGATTAACACCGACAACAGCTAGCACTAAAAGGCTTGAACGTGCACCAGCACAACTAAGGCATAACTTTAGCGCAAACTGAAATACAACAACTTAAAATTGCCTTGTGTGCAGTTGATAATGTTTGGTAGTTCAAGTTGTTAGTGTTATTGTTGTGTCGTGCTGATGGTGTTGCTGTGGTGGGAGTCAACAGCAGAGAGCACTTGAATGTATTAGTTAAACGCTAAATAGCCCCAAAACCTCATTTAAATACACGCATATATGAACAAGCTTTTGTGTGCGTTAACCCTGTAGGGAATTTCCCTCTCAAATACTCGTACATACACCAAGGCGGTCTTCGCATTCGCGCGCCTATAGCAAGCAAATGTAGATTTGCAAAACTTGTCGAATCGGTAATTGTCGGTTAAGCTTACACCACAGTTATATGTGCCCCCAGGTATGACCAAGCTGCATAACATCTCTCTGTCAGTCATCAAAGTGTCGAACACCTTCCTGACCCGTTTGTAAACGCGCTTAGTCCAGTTTAGAACTGCTCGAGTTTGCTTAGCTTTAAAATTGTCCTACAAAGCACGTGGTTGTATATGAAATAAATACACAAGCACCGCCATACAACTGCATATGTATGTATATGCATATGTGTAGACTCCCGCAATGGTGGCTTTAAGTGTCCACTGTAGAGCTGCAGAGACAATACATTGAATGACTCGCGCAGCGGTGGCGAGCCAAGTGTGTCAGCTAGTATTTGATTTGCAATGCACGAAAACGACAGAGACCAACATGTTTGTAACGATCCGGTTGTTGTTATGTTCGATTGTGTGGTTGCCTGGTGCAGCTCATGGTCTATGCGCCTGCTGCTATACTACACAGTATACAAAGGGAAAACTGAATTTGTTTTGTGTATGCGTACACGAACCGGCTTTCTAGCAGATGTGGGTGTCTGTGCATACAAAACCAGAGGCTCGACCTCTTTGCACGACAATCGTCAACCATCCACGTCTTGCCATCTGCCGCTGCCTATAACGGTTTTTATGGTAGCAAAAAGCGAACAGCAATGGAAGAAGAAAACATGGAGAAACATGGCTGTAGGCAGTGGAGGGAATGTTTGCTGATACCGCGTACTTGTAAATAACCATTACGTTAACAAAACCCAAATACAACAACAATGAGCGAGCTGAAGCGCAAACCATTGCTTGTTGGAGTGTGTGTGTGTGAGCGGGGGTGGTTATGCTTTGATACGCTTCCATCGAAATATTAATGAACATTTTCATTAAGAAATTATTTTTGCTGCAACGTGCTTTATATATATATCTACATGTGTATACATATCTATAGAGTATATGCCTGAATTTATGCTTGCTGTGCGGTGTGTAGGCGCGTTCTGGTTTCTCAAATAAGTGTAATACATATAAAGTAAGTGAGTGTGTCTGTAGGCAATAGTAAAATGTCCATACATATTTATGATGTAATATGTATGATTATTTAGAAGTGGCACTTTTGCTTTGCTCCGCTTCTTGAATATTTCTTTTTTCTTATGTATGCGCCTTTTTCGGTTGGCATTTACCAAGCGAATATGTATTTGTTATGCTTTGTTGTAATTCTAATGCTTTTCGCTCATATAATTCTTAGTATTATTCTTCATCTTGCACGCGCGCGGCCGAATACGCTTGTGCTTTTTATTTTTGCTTATATTTTAGGTTAGCATGCCAACCGGCAACTCGTTACGGCGTAGCGTCCCGCTGTCATCTCCACCCACAGCGCCATCGCACCAACTTGTATCGGCCGCATAAGTGACGACTGAAATACTGAAAAAGCGTGATGTGAAGGCATTTTAGTTTGGTCTGCCTTTTTGCGATGTCTCGTTGTTTGTTTGTTTTGTGTTTTTTTTTGGCTACGGCCAGACTACATACGACACTACTATAGTTGGCAGTGCAATGGAAAATACACGCACGGAAATTCGTTTGCGCAAATATATACTATTTTATATATATATATGTAGTTATGTATGCTTGCTACTACAAGTAGTAGCACACGTACATAGTTGTAGCGAATAAAAATATGTGCCGGAAAAACTGGGGGAAAAGCGCTGAAGTAACAAGAATTCTTTGAATTTATGCGAATCGAACTCAACTCAACGCAATACAAAAGAAAACTTCGATGGCTTTCATTATATAAGACTCCATTAAAAATATTTTCTTTAACACTTGATGACTTAATGACTTATTACATTCAGCGATATTTAATAAACAAAATAGCATAATGCAGAGTTATGCACCGCACTATGATTTCATTATTTAAATCAGCGATATATTAGTCTCAGAAATCTGCATGTTATCACATACTCAAATCCGAAGCACTTTTCACTTAAGGATGCAAAAGTTTTGCTTATTTTCTCACTATATTAATTATTAATTTTTATTTTTTAAAAACTGCATTTATTCTAAATATTGTTCCTATGAGCGGACACTGACCGTTGACCGTTAACGTTGAACCGTTCGTCTACACAAAGGTATTAACACTTCCATTGTCAAACTAGAAATACTCAGCGCTGCGCCTCTGTTCGACCAGCAATTTAGTATGTATGCTATCCGGCTCGCTGCAACATGTTGGATGTCGCATGTTGGCGCTCCAGCCGGATGGCCCCTCAGCCAGAGAACTTAAACCAATTGTTTTAAGTTCTCTGCCTCAGCCATGTGCCGGCAGCAGTGGCATACAGCTCTATCTTCATGTGGAATTGTTGCCTAATGCAATTCCCGTAGTTAAAGGCGATGTAAAAGCAGAAAACGTATATATGCCTGGCCAGTACTTAGGTGACTCCCGTGCCTTCATGTGATGTGATTTATGAGGTCATGAGGTGACCTCACGGGTAGCTGGTTCTATATAAGTAAAGCAGGCACCGTGCCTGGCCAGTGCTTAGGTGACTATCGTGCCTTGATGTGATGTAATTTGAAATTCCCGAGGTGACCTCACGGAAAGTTGGCTCTATATAAGTAAAGCAGGCACCGTGCCTGGCCAGTGCTTAAGTGACTCTCGTGCCTTGATGTGATGTAATTTGAAATTCCCGAGGTGACCTCACGGAAAGTTGGCTCTATATAAGTAAAGCAGGCACCGTGCCTGGCCAGTGCTTAGGTGACTATCGTGCCTTGATGTGATGTAATTTGAAATTCCCGAGGTGACCTCACGGAAAGTTGGCTCTATATAAGTAAAGCAGGCACCGTGCCTGGCCAGTGCTTAGGTGACTACCATGCCTCGTTGTGATGTGATTTGAAAGTCACGAGGTGACCTCACAGTAAGCTGGCGGCCAGCTGGCTCTATATAAGTAAAGCAGGCACCGTGCCTGGCCAGTGCTTAAGTGACTATCGTGCCTTGATGTGATCTAATTTGAAATTCCCGAGGTGACCTCACGGGTAGCTGCTCTATATAAGTAAAGCAGGCACCGTGCCTGGCCAGTGCTTAAGTGACTCTCGTGCCTTGATGTGATGTAATTTGAAATTCCCGAGGTGACCTCACGGAAAGTTGGCTCTATATAAGTAAAGCAGGCACCGTGCCTGGCCAGTGCTTAGGTGACTATCGTGCCTTGATGTGATGTAATTTGAAATTCCCGAGGTGACCTCACGGAAAGTTGGCTCTATATAAGTAAAGCAGGCACCGTGCCTGGCCAGTGCTTAGGTGACTCTCGTGCTTTGATTTGATGTGATTTGAAAGTCACGAGATGACCTCACGGGAAGTTGGCTCTATATAAGTAAAGCACCGTGCCTACAAGCTTGCGTTAGAATTACTTATCGTCGAGTTGAAACAATGTTAGAGGGCCTACGTCGTAATGAGTCGCTCTAAGTCGCTTTCCATACAACCAATCAGTGTTGCAATGCAACCGCCACAACCAACAGACACAATGTTATCAGTGTCATTGACTGAGCCGATCGTATTAATAGCACACTCGTATAGTGTTCCACATTCACATTTGCTTTGTTCTGCAATTTTGTCGTGCACAACGGTGCAGGGTGCTCAATTGCAATCAATATCCCATCCGGTACGCCATTAAGCGCGGCCGGCTGCATGATGAACTCTGGCAGCGTCTCACGCTGCCGAACCGCCCACAGACGATTTTTTTATAACCACTTTGGATGTTATATGTGTTAAATCTTTCGTTTATTCGGTAGCGTCTACGTAAGAAATACTAGTGGAAAAGGTCTTGGCTTTATTAATTATTTTCACTTGGCGCCAACTTGTGGGTTTAAATGAACTCATCAACGACGCGCATATTATTTTTCATGAGCTGAAGCGAATTTCTTATGTTCGACGTTGTGGATATAACTCTAGACCACTTGCTGTGCAGGAGCGAATTTGCATTTCATTAAGTCTGCTTTAAATATTTCAGTTATGCACTGCTGACAATTGCGAAGTAATTTAGGCGAGCAGCAGGTGATATAGCACAATTAGATTGGCATGATCTGCATATCTCAGCAGTTAGTCTTCCACTTTGTCACTTCTCTTCCTCTCAGCCATTTGGGCATGTGTCTTTGTTTCACACTACAATTTTTCTGCAGTTTTGTGCCGACAAAGTTTGGCTTTTCTTCCTGCTAAACGAGCGTGATTAATGCACTTGAAGTGCAAACCTCCCAAAGCAGCTCTTATCAAGCGTGCTGGCCTCGTCGCAGCTGCACAACTTCGCTTTTACATATATTCTTTGCCGCATGCAGCGCTTTAACGTTGGCACGTCGGGGCAAATACACTCCTCACTCCATGCTTGCTAAACTCTTCAAACAGGAAAAGGAAGTGCACAACGCCGTCTAAGGGTGTCCTTCGCATGAATGAGTTGAATAAATTACGTCATGCTTTTGACTGAGGAATGAGAATGCATGGATTATGTGTTTCCCTATGTTAAAGAGCATTGCAACAATTGAAATTGTGTGAGAGCTTCGGGAAGTGCGGCCGCCTAGCAGATAACACATTGCAGCCACTACAAATAGCACTTGAGTTCAAATACAATACTGCGATAAATGCTTACTTTTGAATACAGTTTTGTTCATAACATTCAAACGTTTATAAAAATAAATGTTTTCATATATGTAAGTATATATATATACATATTTACAAAGCAAAATTAGTTATCTAATCAATCTCCAGTGTTTTCAAGTTGTGGCATATGCTATCCGACTGCCGGTTCGCTGCTGGGACAACAGCTTTCAGTTTCTTACTTTTGTCGATTTTCCATGCATCGGGGTTCATTAAATAATTCCTAACAAGTATTGGAATTTAGTCTTCCTACAACAATTGAAATTTTATTTTCCAAAATAGTACCTCTTCTCTATGAGTAGCCCTGTCCATTTCTCCTTCAAATCGGCCAAAGTGCCGGCCTTACCGCCATATTCCGCCGGCAACATATCACGTGGAAAATATTTGTAGGGTGTATCAGCATTAGGTAAGTGAAAGTGAATCTGTTATTTAGAAAAAAATATCTCATACATCAAAACGTCTAACGAATGCGACGAAGGTTTACGCTCACTTACCAGCTTAAACACCTCACTCTTAATGAACGGCTTCACCACCGTCAGCACTTTATCCAGATAAGATGGACAATTTAATACGTGAATGGCCTTCAAACGCACTGGGTGTGCCTCCTGTACGAATTTCATATAAACACGCAGCGAGCTGAACACTGTGCGTGCAACATGCCGCAAACTGAAGCCGGCCATGTCGAAAATGGGCACCTCGCCATCACACATGCCCGCCTCGTCGGGGATGACGAAACGCAAGTCGGCCATCATAAAGAACACCTTAATGCTGGCCGTAAAGTTAAACTAAAATTCAAACATTTATTTAACGTTTAAAACACGACAACAACAATAAATAGTGCACCTTATCTGCATCAAAGTCAATAAGACGATACAAAAGCAGCTTGTTTTTGTCCGGCGTCAGTCCAGGCAGAGGCAACAAGTCGCTGAAATAATTGTATATAATAAAAACAGATTAAAAGGCGAACTGGTAACGGTCAAACAAGCATATGCAATATAACGGAAACCACAGAAACGGTAAAAATAGCAGTAATAACACTAAGCTTACAACAACTGGTTTAGTCAACAATTGCCAATACAGCTCCTTCGCCGTTACTTACGCGACTTGCAACAGCTGCTGCGACTCTTGATCCGTGGGATCGCGTTGCAGAAATATATGCGGATACTTGTTGCGCAGCGCGTAATTGAGCTCAAGCAAGCGTTGGGCACTCTCCACATCGCCGAACATCGAATAGAGGAAGCGCTCGAGCACCGGCTTTTCTGCAAAAAGACATAGAAAACAGACGAAAGCTCAGTCGAAGGCGCGAAAAGAGCCAACTAAAACAACAATATATACACATAACTGTATCTGTGTATGCACATATGTGTATATGTAGGTACGTGAGTATGTATGTATGTATAGGTGCGTAATTTTAACAAAAAACTTGCAACTAAATCACAACGTTAGTGCGTTGGCCGCTGTTTTTCACGTACTTAACGCAATTTTCGCGTAAACTTGTAATTAAAGGGGCATGTACAAGTACATATATATATATATACTTATGTAGATGTGTATTAAGGTAATTGGGTTGTAAGTGCAATAGAAATAAACGACACCGTCTTTCAGTATCTTCTTCAATGGAACCGGTTTATCCTATTGTTTTGTTATTATTTTTGTTGTTATTCACGTGCCTATATAAACATACATACATAGAAATGCAAGTGAAACTAGCTGTACAAACGCAGTGGCATTATAGTGGCCTGAGCAATATAGACTTTAGTGCAACTGCCAGCAGTTCTGGCCGAGTTGTGAATATAAATACATATGCACATATTAGCAATGCAAAGTTGCGCAGTTATGTAATATTTGAGTTAATCATAAAAACTACTGTGTTGCGATAAACATCAAGTCATTTATTTTTTATATATGTATAACAATCAGAAAAAGTGCGCATGGCGATAAAAAGTTTGTAATTATTCGCATTGACTTTTGGACTGCAGATTTTATATTTGTGCTTTTTTCACTCTAGTAGAACCTATTATTGCATTTAATTTATATTTTAGTAATGCAATTTCGAATACAGGTTTATTATTTTTGGTTATGTGTAGCCCCAATAAGGAAAGACAATATCCATGCTATAACACAGATTCTTTCCTATTGCTGCACATACATTCAAACATGAACACAAAGTATTCAATTTTATTTAATTACAAATTTATAATACAAACCAGGCTTTAATAAATTTACAATAACAAAACTGTTGGCAAACATTGTATGGAAACTGGCCACTTGTCACTGGCAGTCGCGCCGTAAATGGCGCACGTATGACTTTCAAATTCCCTCAAACGAGATCGAAATAAGTAAACAGAACGCGCCTGCTTAGTATGCCAGACAGCGCAGCGGCTTATGAGCTGGATTAGTGACTGTGCTTATTAGGTATTTCTGTTTGCAAACAATTTAAAAAAATACAACAAATTAAGGCAAAACCAAACAACAAAACTTTGTAAAAGGGACCTTTGCTATAATATAATGATACATGAAATCACGTCATACTTGTATATGTGTTTGTAGTTGAAAATTGATACTAATCACAAAGCTTATGAACTATAGTACTAAAATAGACTATTTCAAAACACCGATTTCACATTAAAAACTGTAGCTCACCTATAGCTTGCGGCAAGTGCGGCTGCGTCCTTAACCAATTATCCAATACTTTGACAAGTTCATCTAATTCGGGCTTTAAAACCATTTTGCTTGAAGAAAATTTGAGAAAAATTACAAGCACCGAACCAGAGAGAAATTAGCGAAATAATACAGTCAGTTTTCAAAACAGAAAGTCAGTGCACATCAAGTTTGTTTTGTGTGTTTTTTTTTCACTTTTGCACTTTTTTTGTTTATCCAGTTTTCCAAACACAAATATTTTCCACGGAAGACTGAAATCTACACTTGTGTATGCAAAAGATGAGCAACGTTGACAAACGAACTACCGCTAACAAGATACCCGCAGCAACTGTGCGCGCCTCACAGCCGGACGAATTAATATGTAGGTTTAAGCACAGCGACAAACTTTTGCGGAGTTGGCTTGCATTGTACAAATATACGAAATGAGCATCACGCTTAAGCCACATTATTTGCGGTTGGGGCTACGATACAGTCGCTGCAGTGTTAAAAATCAAATGCAGCAACTTGTGCCATTTGGGCCACATCCCGGCAGTCACAATGGAAACTATTCGTTTTCTATTTTTTTCAATATTTTTAATTCATTGTTAATTTTCTGCAAAGTTACTTACGTACAAATATGTATGTATGTTTCTGACGTTGTTTATTTAGCGACATTGGAATTCATTGGCGCGGCCGTTACGCACGCGCGAGCATATCCTATTTATCAAAAGCCACAAAAGCACGTGTATTCGCATGGATGGACGTGAAGTTTCAACATATTTCGAATAGTTTAATATACTGGTACTTAATTTAAAATAATGACAAATAATATAAACATAAATAGAATTATTATATAGAAGTCAAAAAGAGTATCACCATTCATTGAGTTTTTATATAAATAATTTTGTTCCGATCGCAATAAAAAGATTTAAGACTTAAAAACTCTTAAATTCACTGTTACATACATAAAAATTGTATGATAAAATAAAACCAGATAAATTAAGATATGTTCATATGTATGCATGTCTATCTTCAGTGGCGCCAATTAAAAAATTTTGCTTATGCTGTTGTCAGCGCCATCTACATTATTAACACCTAACCTTCGCGAATATTTTGTTTTAATAAAGCTTTTATATTTTAGCAGTTTGGCAACTCTTAACACAAAAAGCAAACACGAGCCGCATCGTCAACTACACGCAGAAATTAAAGGAAAAACATTGAATAGTATAGTAAATTTTAGTTAGTTACTAAAATAATATTCAATATTTACAAAAGAAAATAGTTACTGAGCGGCGAAAAAGCGTCAAAAGTTCCAAAGTTTAATACAAAAGAGTTTCCCAGATACTACACAGAAACATAGCAACAACGTGCCGCGTGGAGCAGCACATCCAGTTAATATATTTGAGAGTATATTTAAGCCGCAGCACTGAATTCTTGCCACGCGCCCCTTCCGCTAGTCCACAGGATGGTACCAATTGGTGTTGTACACGGTCACCCGGGCGTGCATCAACCACAGCCAATGCCCACGGCACCTTCGGGTCCCAACACCCTGCAATCTTCTTCGTCAACAACAACTAGCACTCCATCAAACAAGAGTTCAATGTCTGTGAAACCGAACTACGCGCTGAAGTTTACTTTGGCTGGACATACGAAAGCTGTATCTGCTGTTAAGTTCAGCCCAAACGGGGAATGGCTAGCTAGCTCATCGGCTGATAAACTGATAAAAATATGGGGTGCGTATGATGGTAAGTTCGAGAAAACCATATCTGGCCATAAACTCGGCATTAGTGATGTGGCTTGGGCATCTGACTCGCGTCTATTGGTAAGTGCCAGTGATGACAAGACGCTTAAAATATGGGAACTCAGCTCAGGAAAATGTTTAAAAACGCTTAAAGGACACAGCAATTATGTTTTTTGCTGTAACTTTAATCCTCAGTCTAATCTAATAGTATCAGGCAGTTTCGATGAAAGCGTGCGTATTTGGGATGTTCGTACCGGCAAGTGTTTGAAGACTCTTCCAGCTCATTCTGATCCTGTGTCTGCAGTTCATTTCAATCGTGACGGCTCTTTGATTGTAAGTTCAAGTTACGACGGACTTTGTCGTATATGGGATACAGCGAGTGGACAATGTCTGAAAACATTGATTGATGACGATAACCCCCCAGTGAGCTTTGTTAAATTCTCTCCCAATGGAAAGTATATTCTGGCTGCGACGTTGGACAATACTTTGAAACTGTGGGATTACTCGAAAGGGAAATGTTTGAAAACTTATACAGGCCACAAAAATGAAAAATATTGTATATTTGCAAATTTTTCTGTAACCGGTGGCAAGGTGAGTGAAAATAATTATTAGAACAACGTGCCAACAATTTTTTATGGAACTTTTGTTTGTTTTCACAGTGGATTGTATCAGGCAGTGAAGACAACATGGTTTATATATGGAACCTACAGAGTAAAGAAGTAGTACAAAAACTGCAGGGTCATACAGACACTGTTCTGTGTACAGCATGTCATCCGACTGAGAATATAATTGCTTCTGCAGCGCTAGAGAACGACAAAACGATCAAATTATGGAAAAGTGACACTTAAAACTATTTGGCCGCTATTTTGACTCGGTTGCATACTTATAGTTTATTGATAAAATTAGTTTAAGAAATTATTATCAAAACTTTTAATATATATATATTTACTTTTTAAAACAAAAGATCACACATATATAAATTCATCTATTTCATTTCTGATGTGTATCTGTACGAAGACGAAATTATCATCCAAATAAAGTTCTGAACCAAGAATTTCGCGGTTGCGCTCTTCCTTAGCAAAAGAAAAATAACTATATTGTTACTCAGTCGAAACTCATACTGAACCCTGATACCCTGAATTCGGGGGTTTCTATCATAAAATTTTCCCAATCTCGCAATATGGATTTGTTTGACAACCACAAAATCCAACGTCATTTCGCAGACAATATTATTTTTATCTGATATGGCAACATTTTTTCTTATCCACGTGAAGTAAACTGGTGAAACTGCATCAGTCGTCTGCGCTTTCCAAAAATTACAAATTTATTTCGTGTATATATAATTTTTAGAAAACGATAAAATAAATATATTGCAACATGTCAAAGGCCAAAGGTAAAAAGAAAAACGAACGGTTCGAAGAGGAAGAAGATTCGGAGCAAGTGAAGCCAGTGCCTAACAAGAAGACTAGTAAAAAGGGGAAAAAGGGTAAACGTGGCGGAGATTCTAGTGAAGACGAGTCTTTAGCTAGTAGCAAAGTGACCAGTATTGACGCTGATGATTTGGAAAGTGTAAAGTCTGGAAGTAAAACGGCACCTTCGAAAGGAAAAAAGGGAAAGAAAGGCAAGCGGAAAGATGACTGGAGTGATAATGATGACGAACCAGATGATATCATGCAAATTGGTAGCAAGAATAAAATGTCAAAAACAGAAGACAGTGATGATGAGGAAGTAATTATCCCTCAACCAAGTGCCATCACCAAAAAACAAGGGAAGAAAGGAAAAAAGAATAAAAAGAAGGATGAATTTAGCGATGATGAGGACAGTAACAATCCAAAGTCAAAATTCCTTGATTTGGAAGAAGATGAAGATATCGATGATGAAGATCTTACTGTAGCCGCTAAACCAACAGCAAACAAACAACAACACAAGGCCAATAAATTTGCTATTAGCGACGATGAAGATGAAGAGACTGAGGATGAATTAGAAGGAAAACAAGATGAAAACACAATTGAATCGGATAAACTTGATTCAGATCCAAGCATACCAAGTACAGAAATTATAGAAGGAAATTCTGCAATTACGGAACAAATCCACGACTTGCAAATTAATGATAACGTGCCTACAGAAGTCCAACTTTTACCTAATGAGGGCCAAACACAGGAAGAAGAAATCGAGGAAGCAACTAAGGAGATTGCAGTTGAATCTACTTTAAAAGAAAAAAAGTTAACCCACAAGGAAAAAAAGAAGCAAAAGAAACAACAGGAATACGAAAAACAAATGGAGCTTATGACAAAAAAAGGTGGCTCAGGACATTCCGACTTAGATAGCAATTTCACTATGTCTCAAGTGCAACGTACTGCTGGTCAGCAAGCACAATTAGAACATGCAGTTGACATTAAAATCGAAAATTTCACCATATCAGCAAAAGGTAAATTATTGGTATATTAAAACTTCTTTCGAATCGGCTTTGTACATTTACATACATTTGTCTCTTTTACAGGTAATGACTTATTTGTGAATGCCAACTTGTTGATTGCTCACGGACGTCGCTATGGTTTGGTAGGCCCCAATGGTCATGGAAAAACTACTCTACTGCGTCACATAGCCACTCGAGCTTTTGCTATTCCGCCTAATATTGATGTATTGCTTTGTGAACAGGAAGTGGTGGCCACAGATAAAACAGCGATCGATACTATTCTGGAAGCTGATGTAAAGCGAAATAAACTTTTGGCAAAGAGCAAAGAGTTGGAGGATCAGTTTGCCGCTGGCGATATGAGTGTGCAAGAAGAACTAAATGACACATTTGCAGAGTTAAAAGCTATTGGAGCGTATTCGGCAGAAGCCCGTGCTCGACGTATTTTGGCTGGTTTGGGTTTTAGTGAAGAAATGCAAAATCGCCCGACTAACAAATTTTCTGGTGGTTGGCGTATGCGAGTCTCATTAGCCCGTGCTCTTTATTTGGAACCAACGCTACTCATGCTTGATGAACCTACAAATCATTTGGATTTGAATGCTGTCATATGGTTGGACAACTATTTGCAAGGTTGGAAGAAGACTCTATTGATAGTTTCCCACGACCAGAGTTTCTTGGACAATGTATGTAATGAAATAATTCACCTCGATCAAAAAAAGCTTCATTACTACAAAGGTAATTACTCCATGTTTAAGAAAATGTATGTACAGAAGCGTCGTGAAATGATTAAAGAATATGAGAAGCAAGAGAAACGTTTGAGGGAGTTGAAAGCTCACGGCCAATCGAAAAAGGCGGCTGAGAAAAAACAAAAAGAAGTTCTCACGCGTAAACAGGAAAAGAATAAGTCTAAACAACAAAAGCAGGACGATGATGACGGCCCACAGGAACTATTGGCTCGTCCCAAAGAATATATTGTTAAATTCCGTTTTCCAGAGCCATCACAGTTACAACCGCCCATTTTAGGAATCCACAACGTTACCTTTGCTTATGAAGGTCAGAAACCTTTGTTTGTCAACACTGATTTTGGTATAGATCTCACCAGTCGCGTGGCCATTGTAGGGCCGAACGGTGTCGGAAAATCTACTTTTCTAAAATTGTTGTTAGGCGAACTTGAACCGCAAAAAGGAGAACAAAGAAAGAATCATAGACTACGTGTTGGTCGCTTTGATCAACACTCCGGTGAACATTTGACAGCTGAAGAATCTGCAGCGGAGTATCTGCAGCGTCTGTTCAATCTTCAACATGAGAAAGCACGTAAGGCTCTTGGCTCCTTTGGTCTCGTAAGCCATGCTCATACAATTAAAATGAAGGATCTTTCTGGTGGCCAAAAAGCACGTGTTGCACTTGCCGAACTCTGTCTTAGTGGGCCTGATGTTTTGATTCTTGACGAGCCTACTAATAATTTGGATATTGAGTCTATTGATGCATTGGCTGAGGCCATTAACGAATATGAGGGTGGAGTAATAATAGTTTCTCACGACGAAAGATTGATACGTGAAACTGGATGTACACTGTACGTAATAGAAGACCAGACGATCAATGAAATCGATGGTGAATTCGATGACTACCGTAAGGAGGTGCTCGACGCACTAGGCGAGGTTGTCAATAATCCCAGTGTTGTTGCCAATGCAGCTGTATTGCAATAACGACAGCATTCTTTGATGTTAGTAATTTGAAATTGTTTTGTTACATATTTACGAATAACATATTAAAATTATTTAAAGTAATAAACTGTTAAAGTTGAGGTTAAGAAAGGGAGCCCTTAAACTCGAAATGAATATGTGAATGTTTTTCGTGCTTTTGTAAAGGAAAAATATAAGCTTATGCTAAAAATACTAGTTATAGAAAAATTTGAGAACGTTTCATTTGAAAGAATGCACAAAAAAACTATGGAAGCGATTATCACTATTAAAATAATTGTATCATGTTAAAGTAAAACATTTTGTTACAAATCAAATATCATTTGATATACTCATTATCATGATATATCATGATTATATCATTAAATTCTATTCATACATACTTATGCTAAAGCCAGACATATGGTTTCCGTACTACAATAAAAGCTCAGGAAACCATTTACCAGCATAGTGACATATGTGATAATGATGTATGACACATTCGTAATTTTTTTGCACACAACCCTCCTTAATGTTTAAGAAATTCCATTGCACGCACCAATATAATTAAGCTGATTATATTTTAAACATAATTATGTGGCATCACTATTAGAGCTTTTAAATTTGCTTTGTCAAATGTAATTTATAAGCAGGTTGTCACAAGTCTCCCATTTTCAGTGAACGTATAAACTCAGCGGAAAAAATAAAAACAATGAAATTTGAAAGTATATCACTTTTATAGATATTCGCTAAGAAGTGCTTAGAATAGTTAAACATTTCGTTAGTAAATTTTTTAGTATCAAGCGCGAAACCTCGTTTTTATTAAGGATTAAAAAAGTCTTCAGAAACAAAAGTTATGAATGAATTGGAAGCGGGTGGACCAGACACAAATGCTTTGGCCTCAAATATCGAACCAGTTTCTTTTAGTGGTTTGGCAAATAACATTGGACAGAGCAATACACTCAACAATCCGACAATCGTAAAATTTCCTGAAATTAAAAGAACAATGGTTAATCAACATATCCGCTTGCCAATTGAGGGTATGACTTGCCAGAGTTGCGTAAGGAATATCGAAAGCACAATATCAGAAAAGCCTGGAATAATTAATGTTCGGGTTGTTCTTGAAGATAAATGTGGTTATTTTGAATATAACTCAGAGCAAACAGATCCCTGCAAAATCGCTTTTGAAATAGAGGAAATGGGATTCGATTGTCCGTATACGCAAACGGTATCACATCATGCCTTTGAAAATACTATGGAAGGAGACAACAGTGTTGGCTCTGACACTCAAATACGTATTATTGGTATGACTTGCAATTCGTGTGTTCGGAATATTGAAGGAAATATCGGAACAAAGCCTGGTATATTTCAAATAAACGTTAGTTTAGATGATAAATGCGCTACGGTAAAATACGATGCGAAAAAATTTACGCCCACAGACATTGCTGATATGATCGACGACATGGGTTTTGAAGCGAGCATATGGGATAAAGATAACGTTGGTGACGGAATTAGTTCAACCAATGTTTCATCTGAACAGAATTCAAAATCCCCTAAAAAGCAACAGGTGTCAAATGTGACTCCTGCGAACATTGCCTCAAAAGCTCATACAGAAGTGTCCTTGGATGGGGCGCTATCCAAATGTTTTCTACATATACGTGGTATGACATGCGCCAGTTGTGTGGCAACTATTGAAAAACACTGTAAAAAGATATACGGGCTGGATAGTATACTTGTTGCACTACTCGCTGCTAAAGCAGAAGTAAAATATAATGCAAACGTTGTGACAGCGGAAAATATAGCGAAATCTATTACAGAACTAGGATTTCCTTCAGAAATCATCGATGAACCGGGCAGTGGCGAGTCAGAGGTTGAAATTGAAATAACGGGCATGACCTGCGCGTCTTGTGTGAACAAAATCGAAACGCACGTATTAAAAGTGAAAGGCGTTACTGCAGCGTCTGTTACATTATTGACACGAAAAGGTATGTGAACATAGATATAAATAATCTTAAAACTTTGTTGAAATAGACTTACTTGGTTTATGTTGTGAACGGTTTTCTTGCCAGCTAGCCATACTTGCAGTACTTTTACTTTTTGTTGGTTTAAATATTATTATTATGCTTATTATGCCATGTTATGTTTCATGCCTGTGCACGCGTATACGTACATATATGCAAATATATTTATTTGTTTAAAATGTATGTATGTTATTTACTAAATATGAAAATAAGTTGTTTGGTTTTTAAATTTATATGTATATGGCTCGTTTACCAATTTAGTATTAATCCGCAAATTGAGAATAAGCTAACAGGAAAATATATTTAGAGAGGCGACAAATGTGATAATGATGTCTGCAGATATCAAAAAATTAAAATTCTTATTTTATTAGCAATGCCCTAATAGTGCTTGATAACAAAAGGATCGACAACCAACTGCCTAACACTGAAAATAATGCGAAGGCATTAAAGCAGTTACTCAGTTATCTAAAGTAAGAATTTTACCCACAGTAAACTTTTTAAGTAAGCCACCATAATTCCATGTTAACCGTGATTTGATATGTATGTAGTAGATAAGTTAAAATTGTAATATTGATAAGGTGCTTACATCTTTGATATACGTTTTCCAATATATGTATGATATATAGCAAAGTAGATAGGAATACTACATGCATACATCATTTGCAGAAATTTGTAAACTTTTTACTATTTTTTCTATACATTTATTTATGGGTAATATGTCATCAATAAAATGTAGTTACGCATTCTCATTCTTATCACATTAGTTGTGACATGTGAAATGTTAAAAAAAAGTGAAGTATTCAATGATTAGAACAATTTTTCTTGAGCATGCAATAGTAGGATATATTTTTCCAATTAGAAAATGAAGTAGTCCAGTATGAATGCTTTAAATGTTTTGTAAAACAAGTTCAATTAATGTTACAGAAAAATATGATGTTAAATTTACTTTTTCATTTACATTGTAGGCAAATTCCGCTATAATACTGAAAAGACGGGACCTCGCAGCATTTGCGAAGCAATTGAGCAACTGGGTTTTCAGGCACGTCTGCACAATGGCAAAGACAAGATGACCCACGATTATTTGCAGCATAAAGAAGAGATTGCAAAATGGCGTAACGCTTTCTTGGTGTCTCTTATCTTTGGCGGTCCATGCATGGTTGCTATGATCTATTTCATGGTTGAAATGAATGACAGAGGTCACGCAGCTATGTGTTGTCTAGTCCCCGGGTTGTCAATGGAAAACCTGGTAATGTTTCTGCTCTCGACACCGGTGCAGTTTTTTGGTGGATGGCATTTTTACGTACAGTCTATTCGCGCAATACGTCACGGTACCACTAACATGGACGTACTAATTTCTATGGTCACCACAATATCCTATATTTACTCTGTGGCTGTGGTGGTAGCCGCTGTGTTGATGGAGCAAAAGTCCTCGCCATTAACATTCTTTGATACGCCGCCCATGTTGTTGATTTTCATATCTCTAGGTCGCTGGTTGGAGCATATTGCAAAGGGAAAAACTTCAGAAGCATTATCAAAACTTTTATCGCTGAAGGCGGCTGAGGCATTGCTGGTCGATATGTCTCCCGACTTTGACATAAAATCTGAAAAAGTTATATCGGTGGACTACGTGCAACGTGGTGATGTTCTCAAGGTAATACCGGGTGCCAAGGTGCCTGTGGACGGCAAAGTACTTTACGGCCATTCAACATGTGATGAAAGTCTCATTACCGGCGAGTCAATGCCGGTTGCAAAACGTAAGGGTGCAGTAGTAATTGGCGGTTCGATTAATCAGAATGGCGTCTTGCTTATATCTGCTACACATACTGGAGAAAATACTACCTTATCTCAAATTGTGCGCCTGGTAGAAGAGGCGCAAACGTCCAAAGCACCCATACAACAGTTAGCAGATCGTATTGCAGGTTATTTTGTTCCATTCGTTGTGGCAGTATCGAGCATTACATTGATTGGTTGGTTAATCGCTGGGTTCACTAATCCAGACCTTGTGCCCATAGCTATGGAACACAGGATGCATATGGATTCAAATGCAATTGTCATTAGTCATGCATTCAAGTGTGCTCTTAGTGTATTGGCAATTACATGCCCCTGTGCATTGGGTCTGGCCACTCCGACTGCCGTCATGGTAGCTACTGGTACGGGTGCGATCAATGGTGTACTTGTTAAAGGTGCCACAGCATTAGAAAATGCCTATAAGGTATGCTTATTGAATAAGTGCTGCATATTTGAACAAATTAAATATTTTTTTCAATAATAGGTTAAAACCGTGGTGTTCGACAAAACGGGTACCATAACGCACGGAATGCCTATGACATCCAAAATAATTATGTTCGTTAAACCCGCTGTCTGTAGTTTGGCACGTGCGCTAACTATTATCGGTGCTGCAGAGTCGAACAGTGAGCATCCAATAGCATCTGCTATAGTACGCTTCTCCAAAGAATTATTGGGCTTACAAATATTTGGCAAAACACAAAACTTTCTCGCAGTACCGGGTTGTGGCATAAAGGTTACTGTACTGCAGTACGAACCAGCCTTGCGACAAGCTACCAATGCTGAGAAAATAATTAACTATGAGAATAACTACCGATCACATCCTGGCACAGTGCATACGGAAAACGGTGCAAGCATTGAGGAACTCATACCGCAGCTGCTTACTAGTAAATCCATGGAGCTGCAACAGCAACAACAATTACTCCAATTAGACGAAACACTATATGGAACCGCAGCAAACGCAGAAACTATCTCAAATGTATTGGGTAGTGAGATAAATGTGTTGATTGGCAACCGTGAATGGATGCATCGCAACGCCATAGTCGTGCCACAAGAAATCGACAACTGCATGAGTGAAGAGGAGTCAAAGGGACATACAGCTGTGCTTTGCGCACTGAATGGTCAGTTAATATGCATGTATGGTGTGTCGGACATGGTCAAACCTGAGGCGCATCTGGCCGTCTACACACTAAAGAAAATGGGCATCAACGTAATTTTGCTAACTGGTGATAATGAAAATACTGCTGCAAGTATAGCTAGACAGGTAAGTGACAAGCAACAAGCAACAAGGAAGCATGTTTGCTTTATTTTTCGTTATTGCAGGTTGGAATTAAGCGCATCTTTGCCGAGGTTTTACCATCACACAAGGTGGCTAAAATACAACTAATACAGGAAAGCGGCGCCCGCGTTGCGATGGTTGGCGACGGCGTCAACGATAGTCCTGCTCTTGCACAAGCTGATGTAGGTATTGCGATTGCGGCTGGTACCGATGTAGCGGCTGAGGCGGCCGATGTGGTACTTATGCGTAACGATCTGCTCGACGTAGTGGCTTGCCTCGATCTGTCGCGCCGCACCGTGCGCCGTATACGGTACAATTTCCTGTTTGCCAGTATGTACAACCTACTCGGTATACCGCTAGCTTCAGGCATATTTGCACCTCTCGGTTTCACATTGCAGCCGTGGATGGCGTCAGTAGCTATGGCCGCCAGTTCGGTTTCCGTAGTCTGCTCGTCATTAATGCTTAAATGTTACCGCAAACCATCGGCCGCCTCGTTGCGCACAACCGAATATATGAAATATTTGGAGCAAGAACGCGAGGGTGCACGTGAACCCGACCAATTGTCCTTACATCGCGGTTTAGAAGATCTACCGCGCGCCAAATTAAATCGCTCAAATAGTTCTTTGTTGTCGCGAATTTTCCTGCAAGGGGGCGCACATAGTCGCTATGAACACAATGAAAGTAGTCTCTTGGAGACAGACGGTGGTGAATTCACACCTAAAATTATAAAGACGAAGAGCATTAAGAACGTGACGGAAATGCAGAAATTGTAGTGTGATTAAAGGCAAGTGCTTAGTGTTTGTCCGCAGGCAGTGAAATGTAGAAATTGTTTTTGTTATTTTATATGTTATATTTATATATATCTGAGACATATATAAATTGTAAGAATAAGTAGCATAGCGCAGAAAATTTTCCATATATTTAGGTTCTTCATTTTTAAAAACCACCTCTTTTGTAACGTTTTTGTACTTTGCCTAATTACGTGCATTTACTTTGAACATATATATGTACATATATCACGAATATGCAACTGCGCTTAGTCAACGGATAGTGTGCGACGAACAAATATTGATTAAGCTAATCTATACACGAAATTGTTTTCCATTTTTTTTTGCCTTCCTACAAATAACCAACCAATGAAAAATAAAATCCTTAAAGGTACGACAAACTAACAAGTGTGCAAATAAAATCGTTAAACATATTAAACCTATTTTTATATACATATATACAATATAGTCAAATACATACATATACTTCAAAACGATTAAGAATAAAGACCCTGTATCAGTGAAAATCCAAACAAATGCGTTAATTCTGCTTTTGTCGCTGCTTTAATATACATACATACATATGTGAGGTAGCTGCTTGTAGTGTTTACATTTGGAGCGTTGTTGTTGCGAAATTTCTGAAAATTATTATTTTTACTATTTCAATTACCGAGAGAGCTTACTTTAATGCATTTTTTTAAAACAGCGCTTTTTTTTTAATTTAAAACTCGCCTATGTTCTTCCGACTTTTAAACACATACACGCACATCTATATACAGCCTCGAAAACAGTGTTATCTTCAACGTGACGCTAAAAACATTGCATTGTACAAGTTGTAATTTCGGAATTAATCACTAGTGTTCTGTATGGGTATCATGTTTAATTTGAGTAAAAGAAGTTAATAATTGATAAATGCGCGAACTGCTGTCTGTGGCCCATAAATCACTCAAATATGTTGCTAAAAAGAACAGAACTCTTTCAAAAGTTAAATAATAACTCGTGGCACAATTATTTCGCTTAACAAAAATTATTATTATTTATACAGCAGCGCAGATGTTTTCAGTCAATGCATTGTTTGCTCAAGTTGTAAAGTTATTACACATGCACTTATATAGCATTATGTACATATTTTTACTACATATTTCGACTAAATCAGCCAAAATGCCAACACGTCTACTGCTACTGCGCAAAATAGTTTTTGACTGAGCAAACACGCAACAACTTCAAGTGCAAGATGTTGCAAATAGCTATACAAAGTAATATAAATAATTTTATGATTGCATAAATAACTAAGAGACAAGAGCATCGATAAATTCCACTACATCTATTCTATTTAGTGGTGAATGACTTTAATACCATTTTCTTTATACGTTCACTTGTAAGTGAATTAATTTTATTGACTCAAAATTTTCAAATTGTTTCAGTTTTTTTTTTAAACTACTGCGAATAAAAAGTAGTAATTGCTAATGCAGGGCATATCATTGCTTTTAAATTTATGTTGAACCACCGCCAGTCCACTATGTGTTACCGGTTTTTTCAAGTACTCTTCAATAGTCTAAGCAACGTTTTCGTCGTCATTGTTTAACATTCCTCTATTATTTCCATGGGCGAGCGCTCCGTGCCATTTTCCAATTTGGTTTTAGTAAACGGATATATATGCAAGTTTTCCTTAAAGTCCTTAATGTCTACTATTGTTGTTGCGTCCCCCTCTTTCGGTATGAACCGTACATCCAATTTGCTAGCTAATGCATTGAAAAGCTCTTCATCGTCAACCTCCGTCTCACTGCCACTGCTGCCGGCGTTGTCCTCATTCGAGTTTTCCTCATCACGCTTGGCTGCACGCTTAGAGCGTGCTGCGTCCTTATTGCCGATTACTTGCACCGACAACTTGCGCAAATTGGTGCGTTCGTTGTTTAGGCAAAAATCGATTATATCCTGCTTAGCTAGCGCTCGCAGTACGTCCACTTCACGTCGTCTTCGATCGAAAACATATTCCTCGGATGTGATCTCCTCCCAATTGTGAGACACTTCCTCGGCGAGTGATATATCAACAACCTGTTTGATTTTTATTAACGATTCACGTACATGTTCGAAGTCTTCTTCACTCATCTCTTCCAAAATTTGCAACATTTTTCCTCGAAACACTTCAATCCTTTCGTCCACATGAGCTGCACTAAACTTTGTTTCCTGTGAATTTACAGCGATTGAGTAACCAATTATGCCATAGTTCATTCGCACTGATGCCGAAACATAGTAACCCAGCTGCTCCTTTGTGCGAAGTGTGTCGAATAATGGTTCCTCAACAAACATCATTAATAGATCCAAGATGCTTTCGACCAGGATCGAACCCGGTCCTATTTGGTAAAAGTTACACATTACAGTATTCACATCGTCTTCATTGAGAGAACGGCAGCGTATGAAGTGAGAACCTTGTGGCAACTGGACGGTACGATTCTCAATGTATTTCGTCTACGGCAGCAAAATAATAAAATATATGTAGCTTTTTTGTAGTAAAGTGCTTCAAATATACTATACCTCTTTGATATTCCGACAATTGAGAGTAGTTAACACGGAATTCATTACATTATGCGCTGACTCCTCTGTCAAATTGCCCTGCATTAGTGTCTGCAAATATAATTCACTCGTATACGCGTCCGAGAAATGCAACACATCATTTAATGTGAGACTATCTAAGCATTTATATTTAGTTATAATCGGCCAACGGATGTGCTCTACGATGCTTAAACGAATATCCCTAAAAATGAACAGTACATTTTATTTATTATTAGGCTACGATGGATACAAGTTTACAAATGTCCTACTTGTTGAGAGTTCTCGGCTTTATCAATGAATTGAAGTAAGATTTCTTCTGATCCGTTTTGAATATATTAAACTGATCTTCCGTTATGTGTTCACGCATTGACACCATAGCTTTGGTTATAATGTCCACAAGCAAATGTAATTTTTCATTATAGCCATTCACCTTGCAATAACACAAAATAAAATAATTAATTAATCGCAGTGAATCAAAAATTATATCAAGTTTATATATACCTTTAGTATAATGCCCTTTTCGACAGTGTAGAATTGATACGAAAGGCCCGCAACAGTGGCTGGATAGAGTTCTTCACTAAGTCGGAATTTAACCAATCTCTCATAAAGAGCACACAGAGCATCGCTGTAAACATTAATATAATATATAGAGTTTTAGTGGCTTTTGTTACAATCGAAAAAAATGTGTGGTGTTTACTTTTTGGGATCCTTGCGCAATAGTGGCGATATAAAATAAAAGTACATGTATGCCTCAGGAAGCAGAAACTTATCATCTTGTCTAAACCACAATTCACATATATCCGTCTGAAGTATCTTCTTAGGGGCGCTCGGCAACTCTGGTTTTCCGTTTTCTTCCCAGTGCAAACGAAAATCATTCGATATAAAACGATTTGGCTTCGGCAAGAACAATTCTGGCATGGGCTTTGATTTTTCCCACAGTTCACGCCATTTTTGCGGCATTTTAAGTGTGGTATATTCAGTGCTGAACCATTTTTCTTTCTTGTCATATGTTACACCTTCATATTTGTGTTGCGAGGTGATCATTATATTGAATCTGAATTCGTTCAAATGCTTTACAACATCTTGAATGTGATCTTCATTGTACTCGTAATACAATTCAGTGCCAGTCAATATATCCTTCGGTGGATAATATTTCATTTTAACAGCTAATTTTTCAACATTGTCCAAAGCCGGACGCTGAGATTCGAACCGGAAGTTAGTCGCCTCAATTTTTTGCAACTCTGTGTAAGCATCTTTGAATGGACCGCAACCGGCAAAGAGTTTAATAAAGGCAAAACTAGCAGCAAGTACCTTGAAAGGAAATTAATAAAAATAAAATTGAATATTTAATCGTGTTTAGTGCGTACTTCGTCGAGATGCTGGAAACCACGGTCAGTCAGAAAGATACCGATAACGAAGGAAGAATAAATGGAATTTGATTCGAAACCGCTTTCATCGATTCCCGCTGTAAGTTCCAATGCCCACAAGCGTTTTCTCAAATAAGCACATAAACTGCCCTCTCCTTCGTAGCCAATCAAATGTGAAATAAATTGATCTGGTTTTGTTTTATATTGCTGTAAGCACGAGAGATGTATTGATGTATGTGTATGTAGTATTTTTAGTTATCAATATGCAAACCTTTATCATAGACGGCAGTACCCATGTAAGTTCTAGTTTACAAATATTTTCCACTGGTTTAACAAAAAATACTTCTTCGAAAAACTCGTTTTGGAAAGCGTCTCGATAATTGTACGGCGAAAGATCTAAACCCGGAAGATCGTTACTAGGAATACCCGAGAAATGTTTCACAACCATTTGCTCCAACTCGTCGATAGGAAGACGAGCTTGCACACAAACACACATACGATGAGCACTATAGTGTCGCTTTTGAAATTCATGTAACATTGCATGTAGATCATCATCACTTATTCCATCTTTAAGAGTTTTCAGATTGCCCCACGGAAACGTGGCATGTGGGTAGCCTGGTGTGGCGTAGGCAGCTACAAGTTGATCTCGGCGCACTTCGTCGTCATGTACTATTTGTTGAAATTCAGATTCAACAGAATCACGTTCACGTGTCATTGCTTCTTTTTTCATAAGTGGTGCTTTCAGTAATGCCGAGAAATAATCCATACTGCTGTCTAAATGCTCTTCAGATACCTCAAAATAAAAACAAGTTTCTTCGAACTCCGTATGTGCGTTATCAAAGCCGCCACATTTTTTAATGTGTGCATCAAACGCATTCTCCGCTGGATACTTTTCTGATCCCATAAAGATCATATGTTCCAGGAAATGGGCTAACCCTTGATATTCGGTGGGCTCCGTGAATGAGCCAACGTCGACCAATAATGCACAGGCAGCCAATTTCTCGTCACCTGTAGAGTCGATTTGGTTTACATTTCAAATGATGTATTTATAGATAATCGTATACAGTTGTGTAAGACTAACCTTCTTCTGACTCTAAATCTGAATCACTTTCACCGTTGTCTGTTGTGGATGTGCTCATAGATTCTTCATCTTCACTACTGGTACTACTGCTCTCTTCAGCACACGAGTCGCCCGTGGAATCATAAGATGATGAGGAAGATGAAGAAGTTAGTCCACAATGCGGCACCGGTGTAGGGTCTGACACAAGCAAGGCTCGAATACCATTACTCAATAATAATGTTCTGAAAAAAATTATGTCAAACTCAATAATAAACTCAAAGTATTATAGTTTTTACTTATAATGTTTTTTGTCGCTTTCCGATTTATCAGGAATTTCCAAATATTTCGCAGAAGCTTCTGTATTCACCATGTCTGTGGTTGAGAAACTATTTCTAAAATATCCAGGACGAGAAAAACGAGTTGATGTTCTCCGCTTTGGAAAGTATTCCGATTCAATATTTAGTGATATTGTTTTTGCTACAGGCGTGTAGCGATTGGTAAGAGTAAAAGAATATTCCAAAGATATTTTAGACACCAACAATTTCGAAAATCT